GATACATAAACACAGAGAGCTCACTCATTTGCCCTCTGCGGTAAATACAAATATCCACGACACAACATTTTTTTAATCACATTATACTGATATAGTTACTTTATAGGAATGACTCATCAGTTTGGGAATAGGCTAAAGCCGTATTCACACGGGACTATTATTACCTGGGGACCTCTGGTCATTTGTAATACTTGTGCAGGTTGTCTGTTATCTTAATCCAATGGGAATCTGCCATGTACATAATGTGTCAAGTAAAAATTAGACCATTAATTACCTACCATATTTCACCAAGCACAGTGGTCATGTGATAACATTAGTCCCACGCAAATAGGGCTTTACACACTTCCTTGCTCAGAGTAAGACGATTGAAACTGCTCTCATGTTTGTATTGTAAATCTGAAGCCAAAGCCAGCTGTCTGTTAGCTTAGCTTAGCATAACGACTGAAAACGGGGGAAACGGCTAGCCTGGCTATGTCCAACGGTAGCTAATCTGCTTACAGCACCTCTTCAATAAATACCTCGTCAGTGAACATCATTGTTTTGAATACGATGCAAGCAAGTGTCAGCGACTAAATCAGTTTGATTGCATTGTTTTCTATATGAATGTCCTAACTGGACGTGAACACAACATGGCATTTCGAGCTGAACTTTTATCGGATGCCCTGTGTCTTTTCTATTTTTGTCGCTAGCATTGATGGCACAGCAATGAACGAGGTACAGCTGATTAACGGGGTTGAATTAAGGATCAATGTGGATTGATATATCCACTCAATAGCTATGTTTCCATCCAAAAGTGATTCGAATCATTGGGAAATGAGCATTAAAAGAAATACGAATACTGTGTGTTTCCAGAACCGGAAACAAAACAAGTTTCGCATTCTTCTTCTTCTTCTACGTTGTCTGGCAGTTGGCAACCAGCTTGTAAATGCATTACTGCCTTTCCAACCCAGAGTGTGGATATCACCATAGAGAGAGATGTGCTACGTCAGACTTAATTCGAACATAACTGTTTCCATCCCCCGTTTTGCGAATCAACATGTTTTCGAATCAACCAAAACCCGGCTAAAGCGAGCATATTTTAGTTTGTGCAAATCAGGGGATTTTAATTTGAATTTTGGCGTTTCCATCATAATTTTCTGATGCGATACTTCTAGATGCACATCTAAACAGGCTGATGGAAACATGGCTAATGATAATTGAAAACATCAATACATATTTTCATCTTTAAATTTCATCATCCATTTTTGAAATTCCCTTGGCAGATTTGTCACCATTGCACACCTCCTTCCTAAACATTCAAACATTGCTGGCTGCCTAGCGCCAGGCAGTGGCGAGACAGCCAAGACAAAGACAATGAGGATATTAACTGAAAAAGTTCCCTGAATCGAATCAAATCAAAATCGTATTGTAGCAGACTTTGTGACTGACAAATATCCTATGGTTATCCAAAGAATCGATATATTGTATCCTGATGAAACTTGTGACGTACACCACTCTTCCTACACGATACCTCCTCATTTCACTACAAAAAAAAACTAAATAAGGTGGCAGCTGGCTGGAGGGAGATCACTGGAGAGTTTACGTTTCTTTTAAGTATTGTTGTGTGGGATGCTCAGCTTGCTAGCTAGCTTGTTTTACAAAGTGGAGATGGTCGTATGATATAATATGGTAGCTACAACAGTGATATTTATACCCATTGTGTTCCCGCCTGGCTCAAGGCTGGCAACAAAATGGGAGGCCACACACAGATAAATCAATCAAAAAATGATTTATCTAACTTAAACTAATGAACATATTTAACAATATTTGTCAGTAGGAAAGGAATCCGTCATGTAGGAAGTGTGTAGATGAGTGAAAATATGGTGTATGTCGGATGGTGCAGCCAACCAAACAAAAAGCAAAGGTGGAGGAGCATGCAGCAGGCCTGGCTGGGGGACTGACTAATTGAACAGGCTGTCCTTTTATGCCTTCTGGGAGCTCCACCTAGATGGGCAGGTACAACCAGACAACCCACCCACCCTACCAGCCAACTCCCATCATCTGCAAACACAAACAGCAGCGTAGGATGTCTGACAGGCAGGTTGGGAGGGGTTGTCACACCGTCTCACCCATCTTTTCAGTGGTTACATCCCCAGTCTAAAGTCTCTGACCACACTGCTGACAGGTAAGTAGCGATGGATGATGTACCCAAAGGCCACGTTTGAGTAGAAGTTCAGATATCATAACAGAAAATGACTTTGTTAGAAGTTAAAGTCACCTATTGGACTATTATTAGTAAAGTAGCAAGGCAGTATCTGATATCTACTGTACTTAAGTATCAAAAGTAAAAGTACAAGTCAATGCTGTTAATTAACTCTTTAAAGGGCAATCATTTAAATACTTGGAAATTCAAAATTTCAAGCCTAGAGTGTTATTGGAGGATATGACAATTTTTTATTTTTTTTTTAACCTGTGGGACTTTTTCAAACATTTCCATTTTCATGCTGCAAATCAAGGTCAGTGGTCATGGTTCCTCACCGGTTGAAGGTAAAAAAAAAAATCCCAAAAGTGTATATAACAAAAATATAAGAAAAAACACATATAAACTTTAAAAAGCAGTCAGAATTTTGAGATTTATGAAATTTATTTCTTTGTTACGTATCTCACCTAAAAATGAAGGGTATGTTACACTTGAAGAAAAGCAAGGTCGTTTTCACAACTTAAAGAATTTAAAGAACAAAATCCAGTTTTTCCCTCCCTACCCTTCCTTCATTTGTCAATCCATCCGTCCCTTCCTCCCTCCCTTTCCTCATTTGTAGTAACTAACTAAGATCCTTAGGGGAAATGTACTGGAGTAAAAGTATACATCTTATTTAGGAAATAAAGTGAAGTAAAGCGAATGTTAACAGAAATATAAAAACTCAAGTAAAGCACAGATACTCCCAAAAAATACTAAAGTACTGTAACAAAGCTTTATAACTTCGTTACGTTACACCACTGCGTAACAGAGTTCCATATTTAATTGATTCAGTGTGAACAGGAAACGTCCGATGAAAGACGATGTAACACGATGTGGCACGATTGTTGGATGCCCACTTGCTGGTACAACATGATGTCAGATCATATATAAAACAATATGAAAAACAAATTGCTGTTGTTTGCCAGGACTAGTTGCCAGGCAACCAGCAGAAGGATTTTTGCCATTATAGTCAGACTGTACAACAAATGAGATACGGTATGTTCATTAGTGAGCTTTAAAGGGTGCTGGTGAATTTTGTTTCCTGTTTACACCAGTTTTCAATCTTTATGCTAACCTAAGCTAAGAAGCTTTATGTTAAATGTACAGACAGTTTTGACAATTTGACTCTCAGACAAAAAAATGCAGGTATTTACCAAAATTTCAAACAATTCAATTAATTTCAGGGTTGACGGGAGGCCGTGTGCTTCTACAGTGGAGACTAAGTGAAATAAGGTAGAACTCCAACATCTCCTGTATCAGTCGGACCAATAAATAGATAAATGAGTGAATAAGCGAACATGTTATTTCTGGAGTTTGCATTATCTCCCTTAATTTATTAGCCTCTCTGGGAGCTCCACTTTCCTCCCACAGACTGAGGACAAGCAGGTTAGGTAAATTATAACTCTAAATTGCCCGTAGGTGTGAACCGAGAGTGTGAATGTGAGTGTGTATGTCCATGAAGTGTAAGTCCTCATAGACAGGCAGTCTATTGAGAATGTAACCTAATGTGCCCAGGAATAGATCCCTGGATGGAAGGAAGGTGTGGAGCTTTGGTTGTTCATCACAGAATATAATATAAAATGTATATATGTATATGTATATATGTATATGTGTATAATATATCAAGTGTGAATTTACCTAAGTACATTCAAGTTCAGGACAATTTTGAAGTACTTTTGCTTTTCATTCCACTTTATATTTCTAGAATAATTTGGAGGGAAATACTGTAGCCTATCTAACTTTTTGCTTCCCTACATTTATTCGACAGTCACTGTTAAAAATTTAACATACAAAACAGATACAAGCTTTCTTTTAACATACAATGCTTTGTCATAAATTAAACTATCAAGCAGTATATACAAGTAGAGCTAAAATTCTCAGTTGATTAATTAATCAGTTGTTTGCCAACTATTTTGATCATTTTATTATCGGTCATTTAAAAAATAAAAAATAAAATAAAAATAAAAAATCATGGTTCCAGCCTCTCAAATGTGACAATTAGCTGTTTTTGTTTTAATAATTCTAATAATGTGAAATTAAATTTTAATTTATTTTATTACAAATTTAAATTTCTAAATTTAATTTTTTTGTACATTTTTCTTTTTAGAAATATAAATTTGAAAATTAACAAAAAAAAAGGAATTCATTAACAAATAAATGAACAAATTAATTAATTAATTAAAAAGGAGATATATATTGAAAAGTAAATAAATAGGGGAATTAATACAAAGTTAAATAAATAAATACAGAGGTGAATTTAAAAGCATATGTCATTGTTTTAATTTAATTAATTAATGCTTACATTTATTTCTATTTATCTATTTTGAGGCACATTTAATCATTAATTTAATTCTAATTTATTTATCTGAATTAATATTTCATTTATTTATGAAGTAATTTATCTATTTTTGATTTTGGCAGCTTCCTTACTCCATACCTCATATCATCTACATGACAGGAACTGACATGAGCATATTTCATTCATTCTGTTTCCTCATATTGGTTCTCCAAAAATACCAAAGTCATCTGTCTCTGATAGGCAGTGTATGAACCAGTGTAATCCAACAAACACCATGCTGAGATGTTGTAGGGGTATAGCATTACCCTAAATGTGAGAGGATGAGTACTTGTAGCATCTGTAAGGCAGGAGGGTTAGTACATTTTTTAATGAGTCACATGTAAACCTGCCGGGTGTGTTAAGGAAACATGAGGAAATGCATTCTGTGGATTATTAACAATGGCAGATTGTTTCTTGTCAACGTGTTTGATTATAATGAACCTATCAGATGATGAAGACTAGTTTGCTGATGTCTGAGAATAAAAATATATACCAGCTTCAGAATGCTAAAAAGGTTTCATGTTTTAGTAAAGCCAACTGCCTATGGTTATTATTTTTACAGTTTGTCTTTACTTGTTAGCATTCACGTGTAAAACAGCTGTTTAAAGAACACACAGATGACTGGAGTGCCAAGCCTCTAGTGGTGAAGACATTTGGATAATCAGACCAATAAACCAAACTTCCCAAATGTTGGGGAATTCTTTTAAAACCAGTGGTGTATAAATGAATACCACGAACCATGGGCAGAGCCTCCAGGACCAGAGCCGTCTTGGCAGCCTCTCCATATTCCTGATAGGCTTCAGCTTTCAGCCTCATCTTCTCAGCCTCTGCCTTTCCCACCGCTTCAATAGAGGAGGCCTCTGCTTCACCGATAAGGCGGATCTTGTCAGCCTCTGCCTGCGCCGTCAGAACTGTCTTTTTCCTGGGGGAGGAGCATCATAATTAGTTTTAATTAGGCTCCTTTCAGACCTAGAGTTGTCTTGCTTTGGTTCGAATCAGGGACTTATTTTGTTACAAAGTTGTTTAATTGCCTAGAGTTAGTTCGTGTTCTCACGGCAGCATTTACAAGCGGACCAGATCAAATGCCTGCATGACAAAAGCTGCTCTTGACTCATCAGAATTTCCATGTGAGAAAGATCCATGAAGTAAACAAAACGTTGAAGAAGAGTACACTTGCAAGATAAATGTGACACTTTCTAATGTCACAATGGAGGGACAACTACGCAAGTTGATTTTAGCGCTGCTCATCGTGGACTACATTGCTGTCATTGTTCATTTTAGTCAAACCATACAGTTTGAAAATGAGGCGCTCCAACTAGAAAACAATGTTTTGATGCATTGGATGTGCTGAATGTGCATATTAAGGCAGTACAGGAGGAGGTGCACATTAATAATCCTCCAGGACTGTAACATGCTCATGTTTAACCCAAACAATGTGTCATGTGACTGCAGTTTCTCTTCAAGAAGGTCTCGGTTTGTATGTTTTGGTGCGCATCTGAGTGCGACTGCTGTGTTCACACCTGCCCAAATGAACTGCACAGCCACTTTGGGCTCCTGGGCCTGTGCCCAGTAGGCCAGTTCAGTAATCCACAATTGTATTGATGCTAACAAACCTTAACAGCATTACAAAACCTGTTATCATAGCTAGAAACTTATAAAAACATTACACTCTACACTGGCTGAGACCAACAGTCAAATGACACGAATGATACTGATGATACTTTAACTCCAGGCTGTTTACACTGAGCAGACAGGAGAGGACAAGAGAGGTTGTAAGAAGAGGTTGTAAAAATGTATTTTGTGTAGCATGTGGAGCCCCCATTTTTTCCAATATTGGTAACACTTGTGGGCATTTGGATTCCATTTTTTCAGATTATTGAAAAATAATTTCTTGCGTTTTTTTTCCCCTTTTTTTGTTATCATTTGAGGTGTTAGAACGGTGTTATACTGCACAAAGCCTTTCCTTGATTGTGCTGTTTCCAAAAAGGTGCAGCAGTGGAAACCCAGCCACAGTGAGTAAAATGTGAAAGGAGCAAAAAACACAGTTAAACTGCTCGGGGCTAAGAGATTAATTAAAATATGTACTTGCGGTCTAGCATTAGAAAGACTTGTTATTCAATTTAGAGAGCACGTTTGAATCATGTGTTTAAAACGTTGGCAGTACGGCTCCTTTTGTCCACATTTAGTAAACTTAGAATAAGGATAGTGACACTTGAATTATGAAAACTAGTAAAATGATCCTTCATAATGATCAAGTTTGGAGACTTTAACACCTAAATAAAGCTGAAGAGAGAATGATTTTACTGTGGCCCACTCACTTGCGTCCCTCAGCCAGCTGCTGCATCTTGTAGGCTTCAGCCTCGGCGGGTCTCTTCACGGTGGCGACAAGCTCCTTGTCAGTGCGGTCAATCTCCTTCTCCTCGATAGTGATCTGCTTCTTCCTCTGCACCACCTCAATCTCAATCTCCTCGAGACGGATCTTCTGCTGCTCTTTGGCCGCCTGCAGCTCGTACGCCAGCTGAGCCTCTGCTTTCTAGAGAGGCAGGTTTGGGTTTTTTTCATTAATACGTAACTCTAAAGCTTGATTCTTGAATATATACACAATAAAAAGTTTTTAGTACCTTTGTGTTCACTTCCTGATTAAAGGCAGCTTTCTGCATTTCCAGCTCTCGTTTGGAGTCGGCCATTTTTGTGTCAGCTAAGAACTTAACATCCATCATTTCTTTCTTACACTCAGCTTCCTGTAAAAGACAGTGTGGAAAAGACAATGACATGGAGATGGATGAGCAGCAGTTTGTTGGTTTCTCTACTGTGATAGCTATTAGCTAATAGCTATTAAGAATTGGAGGAAGGATGTTTTTAATGCTTTTGCTTTATAGTTTTTATTTCCTCTTACCCTGATGCCAGCGTCTCTTTCTGCCTCTGCCACTCCGATGTCTGCATCCCTCTGTACTGCAGCTGTCTGAGTTTTGCCCAGTGAGCTCAGGTACTCCACTTTATCATACACATCCTGTCAGGAGGAGAAATAAATATGGAGGTACAATATGGTAAGTAATTTAATCATGCTATTTCACAGCAGAACCAAAAAGGCTGAATGCAGAATGAAGATGTCCCACACCTTGATGGTGAAGCTGAGGATCTCGATGCCCATGCGGCCGACATCAGGTGCTGCCACCTCTCGCACCAGGGTGGCAAATTTGTCTCTGTCTTGGTAAATCTGCTCAACAGTGAGGGTACCTGAAAGGATGGAAACTGTGTTTAGTGCTGTCCCTGGGGCTGTACCACACTTCAAAACTTTCATGGCACTGATCAAATCACTCAAATACTCTGAGTATTGAAAAATGCCTTGTCATTTGGTACCAATTTTCGATACTTAAGGAGTATATCTGTTCATTGCAAAGCCTCTTTCCCATTGGACAACAACCCCGCTAACACCCACTGACATCTGGCTTTTGTCGTTAATGGAAAAAGTTACAATGACTCTGCAGTTGTAATTAGTATTTATCAGCTCAAGCTCTGGTTGGTAGTGATGGAAACATGACACCTGGGTGGACACGCTATTTTTTGGCCCTTTCTGCTGTGACTGTTCATTACTTCTGCAAGTCTCTGTCATCTCAGTCACAAACTCTGTCCATCTCCAGCCAAGCAGTGCTCAAACATTGTTCCAAAACAGTTCACACTGAGTTGGAAAGAGAGACTGAATAAGTAACATATATATGAAAAAAAGAAATCATCCTAATTTTAACTGGCCTTCACTTTGTTTCTACCTTTTTCTACCTCTGTTTTCTGGCGTGTTTGTGTCCACATTTGTTTATTTTGAATAAACAGAAGCAACACCTGCTATTTGTCTTGATTATAATATAATGTATGTCTTCAGTTATTCTGTCTCCTTGTGCTCACTCTGATCAAATTGACCTTTCCTTGTTCTTGTTCCCGCTGGATCGTTGTGCTCTTGTGCATGCTGATACCTGCTCTGTATTAACACACACCTGCTGAGCAAGATGTGTTCAAGTCAACTACATTTTACCGGAAAGGAAAATAAACTGAACTAATCCTGCCCTTTGACACGTTTCACTCCACAACCACCTATCTGGTAAAACTGCTTCACACTGTGACTCAGTCCAAATCATGGTGACATTTTTATCTCATACTAAACAAAACAGACTGAAACTTGTTAAAGAATAAAAGTAAAATAGCAACAAAATGTATCTAGATTAAGAAACTAGAATTATGATAATTACAACCATTTACAATCTTCTGCTAGTGAATCATGTTCATGCTGTGATCATGTCTTTCAAAGGAAGAAAAGATCTAGTGTATGGAGGATGGAGGCTGCCAATTTAAAACATAAATCAATAAATGACTTGATAAATAAATTAACATGCCATAGAATGTACCAAAATAATAACTGCCTCATTGGAATAATGAAGAAGAAAATCTTAAGAAAATAATTAAGAAATATCTAAGTTTGAGGAAATAAAAAAAATATGTATAAGTAAATAAATACATAAAAAATAAAAATGTACATTTAAAATGAGTGCAAAAATTAATACATATTTAAAAAATAATTATAAATAAATCAATAAATGGAGAAAAAAAATTAAGAAAGTAAATCTATGACACATTTTCCCAAGTTATTAATACCTACATTTTTTTTAATATGATTTTTCTAACATTAAATAACATACCTTTTTATTTATCACTTAGTCATTTATCTATTTTTGATTTGGCATCTTCCATCCTCCATACAGGTGAAGCTATCTTTTCTGTTTATTCCTTAATCTTTCTCCTTCTCTACTTTTCTATAATATAGGCAAAGACTGCACAGACTGTCCACATTTGTTGGAAAAACAAGAACAATAACACCAACAACAACAAACAAATCGAGCCGTGACTGCAGTTTGGAGAAATGACTCACCGAGGATGGCACGCAGGTGACCCTCAAGGGTCTGCAGGATCACACTCTTGATCTCAATGACTGACTTCCCCAGGAACTGCTCGCAGGCGTAACCCAGCAGCTCATCTTCCGTCATCACCTTTACCTGGTGCCAACGTTGACAAAGATCGTCAGCTGAACACACAGCCACAAACACAGGCACACAAATACAGGGTGTGGCGCACATAAAAAGACGACACATGCTGGCTTTTGTGGAATCATCCAACAATCATTTTCTATACATCGTTCTGTTCACTTTTACACCATCAGTTATGTAAAGAAAACAAAAAGAAACATAACATTTAGAAGAATGGGAAATCAACACACAAATATAATTTAAGAAAAATACTGCAAAGTCTGCGATGCATTAGTGACATGGATGCATTAAGGCCGGATTGTTTTTAAAAAATTTCTAAGTGCAAGTGCATCTGATTTATGGTCTTGCATCCTTGCTATTGGTTTTGCTGTGTAGTGATGGACTGCTTCAGTTCTTATTCATACCCAACAGCTAGTGCTGGGGACTGAAGGCTGCACACACTCAGGGCTGACCAGTGTAATTATAATCTTATACACAGTCACCTTGCCTAATTCATCAAGGGGACAAGGGTTTAGAAAACACTGGCCAATACTGACATGGAGCAAATTATAAACGGCGAGATATCAAATGATCTAAAGTTCATGTTCAAATTCCTGTTGAGTTTATGTTTTTATGAACCCTGAGCAGAATTATATAATAATGCTTTTCCATAATTATATTTTCAATACACCAAAATGGGTTACACATTTACAGATAATCATTATTTGTTATTCAAGAGTAGTGTGTGCGCTGACCATACATGCAGCCTGTTGCAGTTTCTCCTGCTTGTTTCCTCATTTTCTTACAACTTTTAGACTTTTATCATACTTGTTTAAGTTTTTACTATTGATTTAGTAAAATATTAATTTAGCTCACTGACATTATTACTGAATTTACACTGTACATTTCAACTAATATTCTTATTCAATTCTCATTTATTCAGGGTGTCAACAAGTATCAGAGACTTACATTTTCTGCTTTTTAAAACCTTTTAAAGATGATTTTTAACCAAATTTAAGACAGATTTTTGAACAAATTCCCCTTTTCTTGTTCAAGCATTGCAGGTAAGTATAAAGGTAAATACACAGTATATATGTGATCCTGTGCTGAGGAAGGTTTTATGTAGGAATATGGTTTTACAGTGAGTGACGTTAATTGACATTTTGTCAGCAGGTAAGTGCAATTACAAAATAAAAAGAAAGTATTCAGTTTAAAGATTTGTAACATCAGAAAAGAGGACTTTCAAGCATTTTGGTACAAGAGCTTGACTCAATTTGACAAAAAGAAACGTATAAGTGAAATAGGATGATGTATTTGTGGCAATTAGGACCTCACAAATTCAAATGTAAGACGTATTTACTGACTTTTAAGGCCTACTTATAAAGATTTTTTAAGAAACCTGCAGACACCCTGGTCTACTATTATATTTAACACTTACAGATCCCCCTCATTTTAACTTTACTTTTCATTTTTATTTACACTTTGTTTATATGTTTGCATAATGCACATATTTGTATCTACTTTTTATATATATATTTTCTATTGTTCTTATAATGTGTCTATGCTTACATATAAGAGGAACTGTAACAGGATCCAATGCCCCCAGGGATCAAGAAAGTATTTCTGATTCTGACATAAATTATTATAAAATTTTGACTTTAGTCATAATGAATGTGTACCTGGTCTTCAATTGTGCAGACAGTTGCATCCTAGTATCTAATCCATGTCCTCCACATCAAGCCACAGTCAGTAATCAGCTATTATTAGATGCTGTATGTTTGTGATCAATAGATGAATTTGACCTCAAACCCGTTCCTTTGGGCTTATGATGACAAGAAAAGCATGTAGTTGTAATGCATATGCTACACTAAAATTTTAGGATGCAGAAAGATTTACGCCCTGCTAATAAAGTTTTACTTTCACATGATAAGTAATGCAGTGCCAATAACAATTCAGTAATTTACCGAATGTTCCTGTTACAAGGTCAAAAAACAATAAGCTGGATAATTCATGGCTGAGGAAATTATATGAGGAGACAAACATCTGTGGGATAATTTACAATAAAATTAAACAAAATGAAAATCAATGGCAATGACCCGAGGCTTACAAGATAAACACAAGGGCAGTCAGTGACAGTAAGAGGAATCACTTATACAGTCAGGAAATCAAAAGAAATGGTGTAAGACAGAAGGTTGTTGGGTTATGTTGTACTCCGCTGGAGCTGTAAGAAAAGAGAGCGTGAGCTGGGTCCTTAGGCGAGAGGTCTGCACATGGTTTTGTTTTGCAACATGCACTCATACCAGGAATGAGGGAAACACAAAGTCAGGGAAGGCGGACGTCATTCCAAAGAAACACGTCTGAGAACAGGGCAGGCTGCAGGCCGGCCACACAACCACACACAGGCCAGCTCAAACAGACAGCAGGGGGAGCCGTACCGCGGCCGACACTGCAATAAAGTGTGTAATCTCTTGCGCTTAACTCCTGACCTCCTACCCCAACCCCCGCCATTCCCCTCGTGACACCACCCTCCCTCCAGCCTCCTCCAAACCCACAGTTCTTTCAAGATAAAAACACTAAAAAGCACAAGTACTGGAAATGTGACAGAAAAAGAATGACATCAAAACTTTTCCTGACAACTATTTCCTCAACTTGTGTTTTAAAGGTGACAGATTTGTCAAGTTCTTTGATTGATGTAGTTTTACTGCCGACTGACAAAATATACTCCTACTGAAAGTCACGTGGCTAAATGTGATTGAAATGGAAGAGTGTGGTTTATATACACTTAAAAAACAGATTAACATTCTGCTCTGGTTTCCTTCACATCTATTCTGTTGGTTGCCTCCCTCTCAGTCCAAACATGTCACTTTAACAAGGACACACTGCTCCTGTTGCCATGGGACACACATGGCTCCACAATGGCTTTGGTTTAGGTTGGACCAATCAAACGGTGGCATGATGAGCCTCTCTGTGAAGTGAACTGTGTGAGAGTGGGGGCTGCTCGGCTTCAAACAGTGGGCTCATTGTCAGCATGCATGTAGGAAAACACAGAGAGGAACACTGGCATGACAGTGGTCAAAAATACAGAACTGATAATGAGGCATCTTCTTTCAAATACATGAAAAAACACTGGCATGCAGACAGAAAAAAGGGAAATGGATATGACCACAATATCACTTACAAACAGAAATGCAGAGAATAGTCATTTATTATGTCACACGTTCTTCAAGAGAAAATCCACCTTATAAAAGACAGGACGTAAAGATTCAGTTTGATGCTCAAACACATTTAAACTAGTTTTATAATTCTGTCAAAGGACAACAGGGGACTCCCTGAATACTTGGTATTTCACCCGGGAGCAGTGCCTTATGTCCTGCATCATGCACAGACACTCACAGTGTTGTGTGCCAGACAGGCGTTCTCGTCAGCTTGCACTGGGTTGTCCTGGACTTTTTAGATAAACTAGCAAAACAGTAACATAAAAAAAGAAGTTTATTAACCTAATCTTTGCCTTAATCTGACGTGACCCATACCCAGCCCAAACAGGCGTGGAAGGCAGACTTTCCATGTATATAGTACATTATACCAAATATACAAGTTATAGAGAAACATGAATAGTATATTCTGAATGCCTTCATACCTGGCATGCATCAAATAAACTTACCTCACTGTATGCCAATATTACTTTGTCTAGTTTGCCTAAGTTTCTAGGCGTTAGAAATAATTAACCAGCTTCACTATAACTCGCAGCATTCACAGACAAACACTTGTCTTTTGCTGGACACATTTTCCCCACAAATAGGAGGTGCATGTCAGGCTACAGTGTAGGGTACGGCGTAGGCTCCACATCAACTTATTCACAAGTACCCTTAATTATTTGGGGTAGCCTACACATGTAGCTGCTCAAACTTCATACAGAAAGCACTTATTATGGAGCACTCTGGGACAGACAGCGGTTTCATGGGAGAACCAGTGTAACAATGCTTTTATCCCAAACTAGGATGTGGCTATGAAAACGTAGATACACATACATAATCCAACTAATCACACTCTTGCTCAAACCAAAATGTCAGCTGTCTACAATAAATTCCAGCAGAGATATTAATTGACATTTGACTCAAGTAAAAATGACTTATGAACATATGAACTTTGGTAACAACTGTTTTTGATAACATGATGTTTGTGACGTTTCAGTCTAAGCATCTGATATTTGCAGATTTGCATATCATAGAGCAGTGGTTCCCAACTAGTCCAGCCACGGGGTCCAGATTTCTCCTTAGTCATTAGTTCAAGGTCCAACACTTTAATACATTTAGCATCATACTTGTGTTTGGCCAGGCTGTCGAGCTACTTTGCTGTCTCTGATAAGTAGCAGTCTGTTGTCTGTCAAAAACTTGACACGTTTCCGAGTCACTTGTGGTCCACTCAGAATGGGCCCGCGACCCACTTCTGGACCACGACCCACCAGTTGGGAACCACTGTCATAGAATATTGGACTATTGACCTCAGCAGAGGTCTTCGCTCTCTGAGTGTCCTGCTAGTTTGAAGTGGATTTTCTCTTTAACATCTCAAGGTTGTCAACCTTAAAAAAACCATTTTGGCACTGAACAGGATGAAACAACCAAACAGATAGTCACAATATAATAATAGTTCAAAAAATAAAACAGACATTGACACTAAAATGCACATCAGGCTCAACATGGACCCTTTCTCCTGTCACGCTAGGACCAGCTTCAAACTGAGAATAACACTCCGTCAACAGAACACAAGGGCTGCTACAGCACAGGAACCAGTGTGATGTTAATATCTGAACCAGAAAGTCCAGTTTGAAGGGTTGTCAAACACAGAGTGCCAATTCTGTGGTCTCATTGAAATGAATATTGTGTTTTTTTGACTAGGTGCTACTGTCAGTCTGAATGAAGCCAGATACTTCAAACTATTTTGCCCAGTTATGAGGGTAAATCATGCAGACAATTTTTTGACCCAACATCTGTATGTACATCTGACTTACTGTCTTAGTCAAAAATGCAGGTGTGCATCTTACTTTGAGCCCTCTGTATGAAATACCACCTCTGCTGTGATAATGGGGTGATGCCAGAGAAAAGGAGGGTGTGGTGGGTGGTGGGGATTAATGTGTGGGTTAGTGGAGTCTGAGCTGGCATTCCCAGAAAAGTGTGGTGATTTACCTGAGCCACCCCAGTGACAGTAATAGCTACACCCTCCGCTGTCTCTACATCCTCACACTTGGGCTGCAGGGTCATAATCTCAAGCGTTATCCTGTTGAAGAATGTGGAAAAAAAATAAAAATTGACATGTTCGGAGGGAAAGCAAATGAAGGGAAGGGCCAGAACACAAGGAAAAAAAACAGGACAAAGTGAAACCATTCACCCAAGGACTCCAGATCACTAACAACGGAGCAAAATGAAATGCTATCCAGAATTGTGATATTGATTTTTGTTGTAATTCTTTTCAAATGCAGCTTTATTAAAAATAACTTAGTTTGTATTTAACATTCCTCAATTTTTTTTAACGCCATTTCTACAGCCTTCATTTGTTGACCCCCGTTGCTAAAGGTGACTCAGAGTTCAGCTTAACTGGGGAAGCCGAAGTTAGTGACAGCTGACTGTCGCCCCTCCACTGCAGAGGAAAAAAAGCAATGAAGATGAGAAAAGCAAACACACATAGACACGTTAGCTTGTTAGTTGAACCATTTTCCTGGGTCTTCCTTTGGCCTCGAGCACCAGCCACTGCTTTTTCTTTTTTTTTTTTTGTGGGGTCTTTTGAAATGCATTACCTGAGCCACCCCTGTCACATCCAGGGGAACACCCTCCAAGGTTTCGATATTCTCACAGCGACAGAGGATGGTCATAACCTCCAGAGACATTCTACGCAGGCAGGCAGGCAGGCGGGAATAGCAAGAGGCAAAACAGTAAGTTGGACAACAGCTGTTAGGAATGTCAGTAACCAAGGTCAAGAGGAAGAGGGAAGAGGGAGGGGGTAATAGACACAACCTGACCTCCTGTTTTTGCTGGTTTTAACCCAGAAGGTGCTGCTGACACCTCTTACAGAACCAGGATCCGTACAGCTATAACACAGCTACTCTTGTCTCTGATAGCTTGGATTTGTTGGAGTGGGTCTGCACACTCCCAGGTTGGAGAAGCAGCAGCAAGAAATATTTTAGTCACCTAAAAAAAATTATATCAGTTTAAGAGTACACTATATTTAGAATATTTTCACCACTTTCCCTTGCTGTCTAACAGCTCTCTCCGATGAGGAACTGAAGCCATTATATTGCTCTCTTCAAAAGCCACCAGACTCCATTGACAAAAACAGTAATTTGACCTGGCAGGATGGGGGAGTTGCTGGTGTACTGCTGCCTAGATCAGTTTGTTTGTGTCACTGTGTCACTTTGGTGATCTGAACAAACACCAAAGTCACCAATAACAAAAACTAACCCATTGACTTTGTGTTGCTTGACTGAAAACTATACACTTATACATGATTTTGGACAATAACCAATAAGGTGACATATTTATGACACAAGTACACTCTGAAAATGGAAATGAACTAATGATGATAAATTTGTGTTCAAAGAAGTAACAAGAAATACTACAGGAAATTAATGTCTTTGTGTTGTACTTTTCTAAATCAAATTAGTTACAAAAAAGCCTTGGGTTCATTCAGACATTACAAAATTAAATTCAAGGACTTTCAAGTGTTCTTTTTCTAGCACTATATTTTCCTTTTCACAGAATTAACTCAAAGCAAATAATTTATCTTCATATATTAGTTTTTATTAAGTTTCACTTTCAATTTTCAGCAGAGCTATTAAATCAGCACACAGCTGAAGAGAGAGGAAAACAAATGGCATTAAAAAGCTGGCTTTTGTTTAGCCATGGGAACATAGGCTTACTGGTTTTGCCGAGGATTTAAGAGAGATGGTATCAGGCGGAACATCCCCATCCCGTGCATTGGCTCATCAAGATATTCTCCACAGCTTGTTTTACATTCATACAGTGCACAAAAAAAGTTTAACCACTGTGCTTGTGCTGTATAATGGCAGGGGAAACCCCTAAAGGTAGCCTTGAATAGAGCAATGTATCTGCTTTTGTTCCCTATCAGAAAAGGCAGTCTGACGGTAAGGTAATGCAGTGACATATTTTAAATGTAATGTACTGCTGACAGCTTATATTCCTAACCTACCGTGGTGGCACTGTACTTCTGCTTGCTTCTCCAATCTGAGGTTGTGCCGACCGCCATCTACTGTAGGTAATGCATTGACTATGGATGAGTACATTATTATTCTCCACTTCAAAAAATCCAAACTATCCCTTTAAAAAAATGTTTCAATAAACTGGGACAAAGAGCAGGATCTACAGTTGAAAACTCTAGTAAGTGTTGACAGGATTCTTGAACCAAGCGCCTCTCCAAAGATTACATTTGTATGGAGATAACACAAGAATGTCCTCTACAAACAATCATTATCCTGCACTTCAGTACTCATCTGGCTGGATCATTTATATGAGATTATGTTTCAGAGCTGATAAAAACAGCTGTTCTTTTACAATAAATACCGACTCAGATTCATTGCTGTTCAAGGCAAAGACATGGGAGGTTGATTGCAGCAACACTTAGAAGAGGAGTCTCCACCCCTTTCTTCTTTGCAACTGGATCAATGAGTCACAGGCCTGGACATTAACATGATTACTGCATCACAAGCGGGAAGCCACCCTGCCTCCCCTCTGCTTTTATAATGCTGTCCTTATGCACACAGGGCTTTTAGCTGGAGTGGCCACCACTCTGTCTTCTGTTTCTATCATCCAAGAAAGCATCTGAAATGTTGACCAAACGGCACACATGACCAAATTGCAGAATAAAAACAACGAGAAAGGATTCCTGGGACCGCCTGTCTCTAAATGGGGATTTATAAATCCAGCCATGCATTACTTTATTGTAGAGGTCTACCATTACGTTTCCTAGCAACTAAAAGACAAAGAGCAGCACTTAATGGGAAATGGGTAACCTGAAGAAGACGCACTGGGGCTCAGATAGGGTAAGATCGACACCAGACAAAGCAAAGCAGGTTAGCAAAGTAGAAACAAAGAGACATGCAAACCGCAAATAATACATCAATCAATCCAGAGACAAGGAATGTTTTCACACTTAAGTTGATGTTCACAGGTCTACTGTGCGCTATATTTTACAGATGGTACAGCTAGATTGTTTTAAAAAAGAAAAATCACCTCATGCAACAGATACAGTCAGTGTCTAGTCATAGTTAAGGGTAAGGGCAGAGTCTGCAAGGGGGAAAACAGTCCAGCCTATAATGCTCAGAAAGCACTGTTCTTAACTATAATGCTGCCATAGATATTAAACTTAGCATAATATCAGTACCCTACAGCCATTAACACTATGAGACTAGCGTGTCTGAGTGAAATAAATGCATGTTTTGAGACAGTATAGCAGGGTTACTTAACCCCATTAGCCTGTGTACAGACGATGTGTTATAACGTTATCACGCAGGGATTTGCAACCTCAAGAACAACAGGTTCTTGGAGTTTCACAACTTTATTTACCAGTAGCTAAAGTGTTAGATCATTCTTATTCAACCAGAAACAGCCCCGAAATCACTACCACCAAATCTACCAGACTCCATTTAAATAAACAGTGATTTTGGCTTGTATAGAGGCAGCATATTTTCACATCTAACTGGGAGAATTAAGAGTTTATTTTATCCTAACCAGTGTTGGTGATTGTTACAACATTGGAAAGATGAAGCAAGAGGGTCTGTTTGAGTTTTATTTTGTTTCCATTGACTGAATGAAGTGTGTTTTATGATGATAAAATTACTGTTTATCTAAATGGAGTCTGGTGGGTTTGAGATAGCAATTACGGGCTGTTTCTGGTTAAACAAAAATGATCCTACTCTTTAACAAAAGGTCTATCTCTGTAAGGAGATTATTTCATTAATATTGTCAGAAACTGATGCCCCGTTTCCATTGATCAGTACAGTATGTTTCAGTTCGGTGCGCTTTTTTCCGTTTCCACTGTGAAAAGTTGTGGATGGTACCAATGGAACCGTTCTGTATCCATTTTTGTTTCCCCCTCTGTTGGGGTACCTAGCACACAGATCTGGTACTAAAAGGTGGAGCTGTGAACACTGCAGTCTGTTGATTGGTCAATAAAGGACAGTCACTCTGCTCAGGGCTGAGTTGTGGCTGGTTTTGAGGCTCATGTAACCACTGTTCATACTGTGGAGAGTTTTATTAGTAGACTGTAGCTATAAAAATAAAAGATGTTACGCTGCCTCTCACAGCAGCTGGAATCAGAGAAAAAATTAACTTCATTCACTGGGCTGACTGCTGGTGATTTTTAAGGTGGAACGTAAATTTGTAATGTTGCTCAATGCATGAAGTCACGGCATGAATCAATCAACACATCTTAAATATTCCATCTGACAACTTTTAATAAAAAAATAAACAATTACTTTAGTTTTTATATGACATACACTTTTAGTAATGAGTGGATCTTGAAGTGTTTATATATATTAATTTCAACTAAATCATGTGAACGGCATATATTCTAATCCTCACTCGGAGGAAAAAACAAGGGTCACACAGTGCCGTTCCTGTGGACTCCAGCAACACTAAACCCCCGAGCTTGCCTTAGATGGACTAAATGCACAAAGCTGCTATTTTCAAACATCCCATGGAGAGAGACTCTCACTGCAGCCTGCTTCATTTTGTTCTGAAAATGTTGCCGTGCAGCCTCGGTCTGTGGACAATAAACAAGGTGCAGACTTCCCTCTGTGTCACCGGTAATGAGAAAATACAGTGAGAGATGGATGGAGCAGTGAGTGACAACAACCCCTCCCTAATTTAAGGGTAACTTTGCAGTGGAAACGCTAGGGTCTAGGTACCATGTCTGAAGTGTTACTTTTGGTTCCAAAGGTACGGTACCTTTGAAAGTACCTGAAAGTGTTTGGTGCAAACAGGGCTTTATAATAATGATCTGAGCCTGTCAGTGACAAAAACAAGAACTTCAAGCAGACATATATCAACAGTGTGAACATGCCCCGAGTGTTAACACTGCAGCCTGTTTCACTGATGCTCTCACACAATACTGAACCAATTTCAAAAATATTGTTCCCAATAGGGCTGTCAACGAATATTCTAAATTCAAATTTAAATTCGAATTTGAAAAAAAATGGACCTTCAAATGTGAAAATTGATATTCGATTGTGGAGAGAGAAAAAAAACACCACCGCAGCTGTCCTCTTTGCAAGTGGGCGTTGGCATCAGATGCGCATTTCTCCACGCTGGTCGACAAGCGGTTCTGCTCCCAGCTGTTGTCTCCGTCACCCAGCTTGACACATTCGCTCGCGGCTCGCGCAGAAAATAGACCAGACGCCAAAACGATCGCTGCAGGGCGCAAGCCGGTCACGGTCCGGTGCTTCGAGGCTATTCGCAGCGCTTCCGCGGGCGGTGTGGTCACGGGTCAGAGAGGGGGGGCGAGCGAGAGGTCCGCGGTCGTTTATAACGTAATGTTATAGATAATTGTTTTATGTGTTTTAATGTGTAGGTATGTAAATGTTTTCAAAGACGTTTATGTTGAAATAAAAATACCTACAGGTAGTTATGTTTCATATATAAGTATGTTTCCTTGTATTAGTTTGCCCTTTTGTGGACATAATGCGGAAAAAAAAAATATTCGAATGGTTCGAACCTATGAGTTATTTTTAGAAGGAATCTTCGAACGTCATTTTTGAGCAATTTTGACAGCCCTAGTTCCCAATAGTCACTTCAATGCAAAAACAAGGTTGAACTTTAACTCTGTATCTTTAAGTTTATTTGACATACAGAAAGCTACACAGCAACTTCAGCATGGTAGCTCTGATTTCCTCCTTGGCGTGAGAAGATGTGACATTTTGTGGTGGATCCCATAAACACTGACTGTATCTGTTGAGGCTCTTAAGTGAGGAATAACACACTTCAATTTTGAGCTAAATTTGTGATCACTCAGACATGAGAATGTCCCGAAAGCTTGCCACATGACAGCCTAGACTCTGTGGACAGTATAATTGCAAACAAAAGCAGCTACACTGACATTAAAACAAGCAACTTTGGACCCAGTGCCACAACTGTGAATAATGGCATGGGCACATTTTAGAGTAGGTAGCTTTAAGCTGTACAGTAGGTGAATCATCAAACAAACACTTTGCAAGCTCACAAAGTTGATCTCCTTTTGAGAGTGAACAAAACATGAAGTCCAATTGTTTGTTTATTATTAAATGAATTTCACATCTTTTCAATTTCTTTAACTTTCTTATCAGTGTGGGAGTTTAACACATAATAAGGTTAACAGTTTTTTGTGCGGTTTTGTAAATATTATGTTTTGTAACTTTCCCTGACCTCGCCATTATGTACCATCTGTTTATCTTTCCAGCTGGTTTGTTGGAGCAGTGGACAGGGGTGAGTGCCTATGTTTACACATTTGGTAAACATTAGTTTTTAATATTGATGCCTCAGCTTACCATAAATAATGTTTGTTCATCACTTAACTGTGTAAGGGCATGAAAGACTCTATGTCTGGATGAAAAATAAAATAAAATAACTTTTTCATCTGCAGAGATAAACTTAAAATATAAATGTGAAAAAAATATTCTTAAATGGGCCTTACTCATAAGTTATTTTTTGTCAACAAATTCCGTGACAATAAGAAATAGTGTATTTGTTGATAACTACTTTTAGCCATGGATTAATGTATTGGGTGTCCTGGAGGGTATTTATAGCACCAGGGGAATGTATATGTGATCAACTCGAAATAAACTGCAGTGCCCATGTTCATTATAAAGTAATGCATCACCCAGTGCAACAGTTTGGCTCTTCGGTGTGACTGAACAGATTTTGTAACATCTTGTTCCACTGGAAAATTCTGGCCTGGTGAGACAAAGTGAAATACTCCTACAACCCCTCAATGCAGGGCAAACAGGAGAGAAAATATTCCAAGTCTCATTGTATTTAGTAGTCCACATATAAAGGAAATATTTGACATATGACATATTTGTGTATCGGGCTCAGTTTATCCTGCATATCTTACAGAAAAGCCTGTTTATTCTTTAGGCAGGATATCTTATTTCTGGATGAAGAACAGGTTCTCAGACCTGCCCATCATCCAAGCCTGTTTAAGCAGGATGAATTTTCCAGTTTTGCTTAAAAATGTTACTTTAAAAAAAATATGGCATGTTTCACATGTAACCTGAGTTGAAGTACATTTATTATGTTGCCTGGTGAATGTGTACATTTTGAAAAGCATTGTATTTTACATCTGCATCTCCCCGTTTGTGTAATAAGCAGTGTATGCGTGTTGTGAACCTGCTTATGAAGATGAATCTTTCTATAAGAATAGTGTGCCCTTTAAATAGCAGAAAAAAACGCTCTAATGACTTTAGACCATGTTTGTGGTCGTCAATGGCGCGATCGGTTTCTGCTGCCTCAAAATAGCGATACTGCAACAATGCATCTGACCAAACCTCATTCTAACCTACGCACCTGTTGTTGAAGTAGAAGTCTTTATTGTCACTGTAGCAGAGCAAACAACGAAACTGGAGATGCAACTTGTTGCCATGAAAATTACAGCTGCATAAGTCAGAAATTAGCAATGACAGTGGTGCTGCGCTGTACATCACTTTGTGCCGGGTTAAAATAGGGCCCTTAATGCTCTCTGCAATTAGGTGGAGAAATATTTGCATATATATCTGTATCAGCAGTTGGCGAAAATGAGTTGGAAAATACTGGTATACCCTACTGTGACCTGCAGATAGCCTGTTTTAAAAGCTTCCAGTGAGCACGGTGCAATCTAAGAGTGAATGGCTCTCAAAGAACACTTAAGCGTTTTCTTTGCTTTGGAGCCTGAGCAGAAAGGTCTTACCTCTGGATGTCAGAGATCAGCCACCAGGCCCAAGCCCAGCCTCCCACAACGTATGTCTTCTGATCTGAGCCACAGCAGCCACCTTTGAAACAACACAGATGAAATGGTTAGAATCAACACAGAGAAAAAGCCCACTGACCATCAGAAAATAATAGCTAGAAAAAAAGGGACCAGTTCAAAAGCAATAGACCAGAAATTTGATTCAGATCGTTTAGACCTTTTAAAGCGTCTACAACTGATATTTTTGCACTTGTAGTGATGAACCTACAGTACAGAGAACTGCAGAGATTGCAGTTCCCCTTGGATTTTCAAAGCTTTATAGCAAGTTTTAGCTCATTGTTATCCATCCTGATCCACAACTTTACTGTTTTGGTTAACTCTTACTGCTCCATAGTGCTGTTTACAGCTGCGCAAGACAGTGATTTTCGAACCCAATCACCAGAATAAATGTTGGCTATGTATGTTTCTACAAACTACAGATACATAACATTTTTATGTTTCATATGTGGTGAATATGTTAAAACTTTGTGTTTCTTTATATCTCAATAACACTACAAACAACACTTGGTTTAAGTTTGGAAAAAGTCATATTTTGGCTTAAGAAAACTGTTTTATTTTTCATGGTACAATCACAGTTATTTAGGCCAAGGATGACTCACTAAAAAAACACCCGCTTTAGTAGCAAGATTACAGCTGGAAATGCTGCCAATATCTACCTAAAACACAACCAGTTCTGTTGTTGTTGGTCTCAAACAGTGATCTGGTCACAATCCCTGCTGAGAAATGCTACTTTTGTCTCGCAAAGAATCGCTCGCTTTTGGTGGCACAATTGCCACTAAAAATGCCATTGATGTCTCACTAAAAAAACAACTGGTGTTGTTGTTTGTTGATGTCCAACAGTGGTCTGCAGCTTTGCAGCTGTTTCACCTAGGTGTCACACCATCAACCATCCCCTCCACCTCCAGGTGACAATCTAATAAAAACTATGTGACCAAACGATGATATGATACGATGAAATTCACAAATATATTGTATCAGTGGTTTGCAGAAACATACAGTGCACTTGTACAGTGCCTGCCCAGCACCAAACAGCAGACAGACACAGCAGCCACTTTTTCGCCGCCTGTTCAGGGTGGGAATTTCACACTGTTGTTCCACCATGCCATTGTGTATAAAAGGAACAACCGCTGAATGAGAGGTGTCTCGCCTTTAAGCCAGCACGGCGGTATTAACAGTACCTAAAATGTCTGTGTATAGCTAGATGACTGTGTAAAAGGGACAGGTGACAGGATGGGACCATGGGTGGGATGGGTGTAACGTTTAGACGCTGTATTATGTGTGCGACCTACCACCGGAGATTTAAACAGCAGCTGTTAGCAGTTAGAAGCTACCTCAAAGAAGAAGAACAACAGCAGCCAAAATGTCCACAACTTGGGAAAACAAGGAGGTCTGGGAGCTCATTGCCCTCTGAGCAGAGGACGAAATCAGCTTGTTTATAAAACACTGCCAACGCTTATGTTGTATGTCACACTAAAGGCCGTCGCTGTTGACTGAAAGGTCACACCATCACGCCTCTTTTGTTTCCAGGACGCCAGTGTGCTATCTAAAATTATTGCTGCCGCTGTTTGGTTCTGTGTAAAGATACAAAGGCAGTATAAAGAAGGGACTTTGTAGCAGCCCTATAGCATGATCTCTGTATAAAAATGGCTAGTTAAAGACTAGCTGGGGACAGTGGAGCATTTAGCAGCTAAATGCCAAATATCAGAGTGAATACTAGACTTAGATTTTCCAGATTCCCAAAACACCACTCCAAGTAAATGATAATGTTGCTCTGTAACTAGTGGATGTATACATTAGGGGTGGGAATCACACTTTAACTGAATAGTTTTGTGGACAGTTCTAATGTTCTGTGTGCAGTTAATTTAACACAACATGATGCGTGCATGTACAAAAGCACTCAAGTTCATACGGATCATTGGAAGAAATAAATTTATAATAATACATCCAATGTATAGGTCTATATGTAACTGTAGCTGCTGATTTGGCTTTAAACCTAAAGTAGCATAGAGGTATTCTTGAGAAAGATCTCTCAGCCAGTGACCCAGTTCTCATTTTCTGCAAGCGGCTTTCTCGGGAGAAAGATCATGTGCTGTTTAGAAAGTCTTAAAAACACCTTCCAACCACGGTGGCCACAATGTTTGCTCCTGTTACTCTATGAGCAAGCGCCTCATCTCTGCTTTCCGGTGCCACTTTGAATCTTTGGTTCGATGTTACTCTCACACTCAAACACTGCTGGGTTATTGTGATCTATGCTTTGATTTATTTTATTTAAGAAGTAATAATGCACACACAAACACTTGAGTCCATCATGTAAATGTGCTAAATTTAGTCATACAGACTAATTTTCATCTGCAGTCCATTGCAGATTGATGGCATTAAACTGCTGTGCAACAACCGCAAGAGCAGGCAAGACACCTGCATGTTCTTAATAAACTGTAAATGGTTTTTCCCATTGTGGCGACATCAGAAATGTTCAAATCACTTTTCTCTGCTCAAGTAAAGTTTTACCGATGTAAAACATGGAAGAACAAAAATTCATCCAACTCATACTATAGAAAATATAAAAATATAAAAAATGAATGCCAAAAGTTATTTATTTTACTACCACTTTATATTGCCATTACTGAAGTCTGCCGGTAAATTCAGCTTCATGTTACGCTCAGAACAGTTTTTAATAAATCAGAAGTTAAAAAACATGTAAACTGCCGATGGAGATGAGCAGAGGATTAGCTGGGAAACATCACATTTATTCACTTTACATGGAGCTACAGTTAATACTGAAATATGTTAAATGTTTGCCAAATATGTTAGTATCTCTTAATAGGTCATCAGAAATCAGAAATCATCTTTAGAAGGAGCAGATGTTTACCTTAAGCTAGCTTGGGCCATGATAAAGTTAACAATATTTTAACAGTGCATGGTGAGCTAATTGCTAGCGTGCTCGGTTGAAAAGAAAAAAAAAAAACAAAGCTTTGAGATGGCTGTCAGAGATGGCAGACGTATGATCACATAATCCCGTTTGAGTTTTAACAGGTGGTGTGTTCCACGTTTTGTGGACCAATTGCTCTAGTAAAGAAGAATAAAGCACTGTAAACAAGCTGTTACCACTGGAAGTTGCCGGTTTCAGTTCAGCGCTGGAAGTTACACCCATAATTCATACAAGGTACCATGGGGGCTAGGAATAAGGTGGATAGAGAACCAATCTAAATGCCAATGGTCTCATTAGTCTTTAGCTATTATATTGTGCAATCAGTATTTGCTTTATAATGATCAAAGCAAAAAAAAACTTGTTTTTTTTTCCATTTTAAGCAAATTAACACTTAAAACAAATCCAACGTTCTAAACAATACACCACACACACTTTCTGACTCTCCTGTAGGCACATTACAGGCAGACCACTACAGAAACATTCTATTTCGTGTGCCATTTCCTTCCCAAACGGCACTGTAGAAGTGATAGTTACGACAGTTTTATGTGTGCGATCTTTCCAGATGTAAGTTAGTAGTCACTGGCCTCTGTCTGATAATGTAATCTGGAGTGATTGGTGTGAAATTCCCAGCTGTCACATGTTAACTGACAGACAGAGGAGGGGGAGGAGCGGGACTATCTTTACTGACACACACTACTCCCAACAACCAGCAGGACATATTGAGCCACATCTCACCCACACAGTTGATGTGTTTTTTATATTTCCATCAACAGAGTTACTGTTGAAAGACTCTTCTGTTAAGTCTATAAAGAAGAAATCTGACTCTGACACAGTGGCTTCTTGTGTTTCCTGTTGTACAAATAATGCATTTTCCTGGCGTGGCTGAACAATATCCCACAGGAAACAGTAGCATTATAATGTGCGGACCAGGAAAATGGCACTTGAGAGTTCATGGGAGACACACTCTCATGAGCTCACCAAGATGAACTATTGAGCCAGACTTGTCATGTGAGTCTAAATGTTGCCACATTTCTCTCTGTCTTTTTACGTCAAGCAAATTTAATGTGAAGTGCTTATGGAACTGAATTTTTAAATCAATCAACTCTTGATTTCAGTTTTTGCTTTCTTTAAATGTTGAAACAGAGGATGAACACGTGCAGAGTGTCTTGATGAAAATATATTTTTGGACATACTCCATTATGACATAATCTAACTCATACAGATGTTGTTTTAATGAAGGAATGTGGGCAGGATTGGCTTTTACTATAAACACCCACGTGACTCCTGCCCGAATGCCATCACCAACCACACTGGTAAGAGGCTGAGGACCTATAGAAAGGCCTGAGGCAACACCCCACAGCCTGTCCAGTCTACCATCAGCATATCTGAGATTCCTGACTGCATTCACTCCACAGCGGAGGGGGGAGGGGCTCCATAGAAATGAATGAGAATTTACAAGAGCTAAAACAATCCTGTAATCAGCTGTAGTTTCCTTGATGGGTTTTGTTACTAAAAAGTGACAAATGTCTTTAATTAAAACATGCAGATAAGGTGTTGGTGCCTTTGGCCTAAAAAGAAAATTGAACTGTGGCACCCGACCTTATAAAAAATAATTACAGAGTCCTGTTTTTTTACACAATTGTAAAATCATTCTATGAATCAGGATGTGCAGTTCACGCCCACTCGCCTCTGCTCCCAATCCTTTATGTGGTAACTGACACGCTCTTCAAAGTGTGTTCACAATGGAAAACCCCAAAGCTGTTTCTCTTTTTCGTTCATTGCAAGTGGATTAGACAGGAAAACTGCCCTAACAGATTTTGTTACAGAACGCTGCTGGAAACATTTTATGCACTGCACACTGCCAAACCACATTTATAAACTATGGCAAGGTTTTCAACAAGGCAGAGATCAGTGGTTCCTAAAAGACTGTCCAAGGTCCACCAGGGATCCAATATCAGATCAATAAAGAATGCAGCGACATGACAAATAACTCTGAATTTACTACAACTTGACAACATAGACACTAGTGACACACTTAAATTTGGTGCTTTTCCACCAAATTTAAGACAGATTTTTTTTGGCCAAATAATCGTTTTCTTATTCAAGCATTGCAGTAAAATTCAAGGGGAGAATACGTGGCCCTAATGCAGAGGTAGGTTCTATGTAGTAATATGGTTATTTAAGTGGGTTAGTTTAATCTTTATTTTGTCAACAGGTAAGTGCAAGTATAAAGTAAAGACAGTATTTAAGATATAGTGGTAGGTTTAAAGATTTGTAACATCAAAAACGTGGACTTCCACAAAAAGGGGCATGAGTCATTTTGACAAAAATAAATTCAAAGATGCATGAATTAAATTAGATACTATCTTTTGGTAATAACAACCTCAGAAATGCAAAATTAAGACTATTAACAGCAGGTCCAGTGTGAAGGATTTAGGGGGATATATTGGCAGAAATGGAATATAATATATATATCTTTAGTGTTTAATCACCTGAAAATAATAACTGCTGTGTTTTTGTTACCTTAGAATAACCCATTCATACCTACATAGGAAGCGGGTTCTCATCCACGTTTCACCCCCATGTTTCTACAGTGACCCAGACCAGATAAACCAAACACTCACTCTAGATGGGGCCATTCGTGTTTTCACAGCAGCCATAATAGTTAGCAGCCCCTCTTTGACGAGCAGCATTGGAAATACACTAATTTTAAATGCGAAACTGCTTTATTCAATATTTTTAGTGGTTTAAATCAGTCAGTACATTTACATGCACACAGTAGTCGAGTTAAGCTCATAGCTTGGCTAATCAGTCAAGTCGGACTTTTCATCTTGTCTGAGTATACATGTAGAAGAGAAAATCGAATTTCTGACTAAGTACGTCTGACGCTGCTTCGATGGGCGGTGCTGTGTCCTTTTTAATAAAGTGCGTATTGAACTAGTTCCGGTTGACCCCAAGAGGAAGCTAAAGACGATGTTTAGCTCCTTTAGCTGTTGGAGCATGAATGTAGTTTTCTCGTCCATCCAGAAGTGCGTCTTCTGCTTCCTGGTCGCCATGGTGTTTGTTTGTTTGTTTTTCCGGGAGTTACTGCACTGCTATATACTGCACTGCTGCTACATCATCTCCTTCATTTTCCAGGTGAAAGCCCGCAAAAGAAAAAGTGGTGCAGGCGCAGAAGGCCGAGTCGAGCTACGGATAGTCCAATTTCAGTCGGACTAAGGGGTTTACATTAGGGATAGACCGATATGGATTTTTTAGGGCCGATGCCGATACCAATTTTTTTTCCATCACCCTTAGCCGATGACCAATTATGGACTGCCAATTTTCTTGAGCCGATATTTGGGGCCGATACTGCTTTTGCTCCCTCAATTTACATCAAAAAAATGACACAATGATAACAAATATTACAAGTCTCAAGTTTAAAATAAGAAACATTTATTGAACAGTAAAAAATACTAAAACAAGATGGAAAGTTGAGGTAGAACAGGTAGAATATTATTATTATTATACATTCAAATAAAAAAAAAAGAGTTCAGTGCTCTTAAATCTTCCAGTAATGTCTTTATAAAATAAACAAATATTTAAGCTGAAGCATAAATAAAACAACAACTACTGTACACAGTAGGATTCGCTGCATGTGCGCTGCAGGGTCTTCCGGCAACACAGAGCTGCCCGTGGATGCCTGTCTGTAAATCATGCCAGGGAAAAATAAATCCGCGAACCCACGCGCGTATCGGCCGATGCAGATACAAGTAAAAAACTCAAATATCGGCCCGATATATCGGCCGGCCGATGTATCGGTCTATCCTTAGTTTACATTCAAAAGTCCGGTTTCAGTCGGACTAAGCCAATAATTTGATTTTCTCAAGCTGCATGTAAATGTACTGAGTGGGTCTGTTTGCTTTGGAGAGGAGGAGACATTTGCGGATAAATAAACTTGTGGTAAAAACCTCCTGGATGTCTGGATCAGAAATAAGGTAAGCACATATTAAGGTAACATAGAAAATAGAGATGCTTGTGGCCCATCTGCAACCTGTCAAACAGCATAGGAGAAGCACTGATTTGTAACATGAAGCTGCTTTATACAGTGTTTTCAGTGGTTTAAATCACTGGGTCCGTTTGTTTTGGGGAGAAAGAGACCTCTGCCGATAATTCGGCTCACAAAAAACTAGGGATGCACAGTAGTATCGGCACATCATCAGTGTCGGCTGATATTGGCTTTAAAATGAAATATCAGAATTGGCCAACATGCTTTTTCTTTTTTGCACAATAAATGTATATTAAATATATTTAAAAGTCGTGTATTTCATGTCTCCATGTGCTGGTGGGCCATCATGATAAGAGTATGCATGTATAATATGACTTCAATTCCACTACAAAAGAGACTTGATGATCACTACAATTCAGCAGGGGAAAAAGTCTGTTTATCAATATCCATATCGGTCAAATGAGTGGTTACATATTGGCATATCGGATCTTGGCAAAAAATCCAGTATTGTGCATCCCTCGTAAAAACCTCCTGTACAATGACAGCTGACAGAATTCTAACCGGGAGACATTTCAGCTGGTTGCAATTTGCAATCCTCACCACTAGATGCCACTAAACCCCCTAAATCTTACACACTGGACCTTTAACTATGACTGGACAACACAGAAATTACTGACACTGTATGAATAAAGTGTTGTGACCAGTCATTGTGATATGAGTCATTAGTTTCACAGACATTAAAGATTATTTTGAGTAAAATAAAATCCAAAGCCAGTCTCTGAGTTCTTAAATGGGGAGGGCCCTGACATTAGGAAAAGTCTTCTATGTACTGTTTTAAGTCTGACACACCAGCTGATGGGTGTGTGGACCCAGGAGCATATATCAGCGTTTCCCCCTGTAATTTAATTAATTTAGCTGTAGTCCTTCTGCGGCAGAGAGACATTATGTATCCTACCATGACTGTTCCAGACAAAATAGACATAAAATAAACTGATTAGCCCAGCTTCCCCACATCTAGACCTCCAGTGGCTGCTTTATCATAACAAAATACCGAAGTGAAAACAGTTTAATGAGCAAAACACTGCACTTAGACACCAAAATAAAAACAGATGCGGAGGCACAACCAATCCAACCACTGAGGTGTAGAGAACACCTGAACACGCATTAATACATTATAGAGGAATATTAAAAGAGAAAATAGGTGGATGTATAGGCAATATAACAGATACATTTCTGAGGAGAAACGCACGAACGTTGGTGTGGTATGACGGATATCATGGCTCGTCTCTCAGATGCCATTTAAAGCCAAAAACGATGGATTTACCAGATAAATAACGTTAAACCTTTAACATTTAGGAGGGAAACATGGCATTTTTTCCAACGAGGTTTGGCACGGTGGACCTGTTAACGTTAATTACTTAATAAACACATTTGGTTTGTTGTAGGTTACACGTAATGCTACCTTCTGACCTACTGTTTAAAATATATAGGCCCCCTACATGTTACACGTCGAATAAAGGTTAGAAGAGTGCTTTGGTTATGTTCTAGGTTTGTCTCCATGAGCACTTCATCGAGCCAGGAAGGAGCTAGCAGCTACACATCGTCCAAAAAGCGTTTACGTTACCTGAAACCACAAGGGCCTCGTTTGGTCCGACGGTATGGCAGTTCCCCATGTTACCGACAGAAAAAAAAGACACGTATCCAAACCAACTCGACGCGTACAAAGCTAATTTCACTTATGTACTCTGTTTTTTTCCCGTTTTCTTCCACCAACACTCAATAATCGATGGATTCTGTGGGGGTCGAGCACCGAGTACGTCAAACCAACCGTTACACGACGCAGCGCTTCCGGTTATGACTTTCAAAATAAAAGTATTATTCATTAACGTGTTTTTCTCAATACTTGCCTCATTTCTTCTAACAGTCATGTGGAAAAACTTGCTGATCTACTTGTTCTGTAGATCAGTAATATAACAAACTAAGTGTCTCAGTTGTTCCTTACTTGAATATATATCATAGATATAGATATAGATATAGATATAGATATAGATATCCTGGTGTATATATCCTGGTGATGTGCATGTGATGGCTTACACAATGAAATAATTCATACATGTTCTGGTGAGGACAACTATTCAACTGAAAAGCAACATAATCAGTTTTGATCTGCAATATATATTCAATTGGTAATTGTACAAATTGCAGACAATTATACTAAGTCATTTACAGAAATGTGCATTTGCAGTTAAGATAAACTTTAATGATGTCACACCAGCGAAATTCAGTGTTTGATGCAACAGTTCAAGAGTCAGAGCAAAGGAAAAAGAGACTAAGTGATAAAAAAAATTAAAAGAGATAAAAACAGGCTAAATATACAAAATAATACTTAAAAAAAGCTTCATAGTCCATATGTACCCCCTATAACTGTAATACACACATGGTGTAGCACTGTACTAGAAAATGAATATAATTACAGAGGATACAAGCAGGAAATAGCACAGTATAAATATAAAGGATATATCTACAAAGGTGTGGTCCCGGTGATGGCATTGTCGGCAGCTGGAATAGGGCCGATTGCGGGGCATCATTCATACCCAGTCTCAGCCAAGTCAGTCAACTGGATCCAGCCCAGCTAATTTCATCCGGCACACAGAGTTTGGGCCAATTCTGGGCCAGGTCATTTGTCAAGTCAACTCAATCTTTATTTATATAGCACATTTCATACACAAGGCAACACAATATGCTTTACATAAAATTACAATACAATCACAACACAGTCATAAAAGTGCAAGTGCAGAAGAGAAATATGCACATGCACACACACACACACATGGAATTTAGCCATAGGCGGTTTTAAAAAGTAAGGTTTTTAACTTGCTTTTAAAGGTGTTCAGTGTGGGGGCCTTTCTCAGGTCTTCAGACCGGGTGTTCCATCTTCTGGGGGCATAAAGCAGAAGGCAGCATCCCCTGCTTTAGAGTTAGTACGTGGGATGGTTAAAAGACCACTGCCTGTGGACCTGAAAGTTCTTGCTGGTTTGTATCCAATCAGCATGTCTTTTATATACTGAGGTGCAAGGCCATTTAGAGCTTTGTATACTAATAATAAAATTTTAAAATCAATTCTGGTTTTAACAGGTAACCAATGCAGAGATCTAAAAACAGGTGTAATGTGTTCAGACTTTTAAGTACCGGTGAAAGTGCGTGCAGCTGCATTTTGAATTAACTGCAGTGATGGCAGTGTCACAGCCAGATTCGGCCCGATACTGGGGCATCATTCATGCCCAGTCTCAGCCAAGTCAGGCAACCGAATGCAGCCTGACTAATTTCATTTAGCATGCCGAGTTTAGGCCAATTCTGGGCCAGATCATTTTGGCTACCTGATTTTTTTATATTTTTTTTTATTTAAATTTCAACGGTTGGATCCTCCCCAGGACATTCTGAGGACTGAGAAAAACTGTCCATGCTTTTGATTTTATTTTGAAGGTATGAAAGCATCTTTTCCGTTGATGTTTTGCCGCCACTTGACTGAGCTGATCAGAAACCCCTCCCCTCCATTCTGCCCTCCTTCGCCGCAGAGGGATACGATACCATAATAATAAAATAGGCGTGGCTGGTTAAATTTCCTCTCACGAAAGTAACCTAAACATAAACCCCTGTAATTTTCCTCACAGAGACGTGTGTGTTTGGAACTCAGTCATGTGTTTAGTGACCCGATCACGTGGTGTTTGTCATTTGATGGCCATAGATTACCGTGATAAGAACAGTTTTAATATCTCTGTGACGCTACCGCAGATGGAAGATGTGCCTTACTCAGAGTTGTGCAATAATATGTGCAAATAAAATTCAGAGTTTTAAATATGTAACTCTTCTTTATCCTATTCCTTAATCCTCCATGACAGCAAGCAGATCAGATTCTGTTTGGTACATCTGAAAGCATTAAATGTTTTTACTCATTCCCAAGGCTGATAAAAAATATTTGTACTGATTTTCTTTTTAGAAAATTAATGCATTCACATCCTATGTTTTAAAAACCTTCATTACTAAAAGTTCTTTATGGCTGTAGTAAAGCTGCAGAAAAGGCGTGGCACATCCTGCCTATGCAGCGGTAGCCATTTGCCAATACTATAATCAAAATAAACGTGCATGACTACATTCTGGGGAACTGCGAAATGTCAAACAATGCCACTATCATGATGATAGCAGTTGCCTTTGTATGCACAATGAAGTAGGAGTGGTTTGGTGACAGATCCACAGAAATCAACAAAACTGACCCACGCTGAGACTCCTGACCTTGGCAGAGTCACAGTGCTGGCCTTAGTCAGTCAGATGATTTTACACTATAATTCAGTTCAATTTTATTTATAAAATCCAATATCACAAATCACAATTTGACTCAGAGGGCTTTACAGCATACAACATCCCTGTGTCCTTGGATCCTCACAGCAGATAAGGAAAAAACTCAAACAATGCTCTCTCAGATAAATCTGTGAGGTGACATGCAATAGTTATCCTTCTTTAATGTTTCATAATGATATATTTTATTTTGAGTTTATTACAGCCTTTGTTAGTATATAGTTTTTAATCTACACCATATCTGTGCCCTTGTGATGGTGTCATGTTTTCCACGTGGCTGACAGATGCTTGAAGGATAAGACAGGCTCCAGGACAGGAACAGACCCGGACCACAACCCATACTGGCCCTCTGCAACCAGCATGTAAATTTTCCACACCACAGCCTCTGGCAAGGTTGTCACAGTACCTTAAAGGTCCAGTGCGTGATTTAGGGGATTTAGTGGTATCTAGCAGGGAGGACTGCAGATTGCAACCAGCTGGACCATCTCCTGGTTGGAATTCCTTCAGCGTTCATTGTTCAGGTTTATACAGGAAGTGAAATTATCCGCAGAGGTCTCTTCTTCTCCAAAACAAACCAGGTAATTTAAACTGGTAAAAACACTGAATAAACCAATTTCAAGTTTTAAATCTGTGTTTCTCTGACTCTGTTTGGCACGTTGGAGATGGCCAGCTAGCCTAGTACCTGCTAATGTGTGCTCACCTTTTGTCACTAATAACTTAAAATCCAAGCCCGGTGTCATTCCGAAGTTGTCGAAATCCGGCACTTTGGCAGTGACTTGTGGCATCAGAAACCAAGGAGTGAGAGGTAGTGGATGGGTCCAGCAAACACCGACTTTCACCCGAGAGAGCGGTGTTTGTGTCCTGTGAGATTATAAAGCCAAACCCTTTTCTTTTTTCCTAAACCCAACCACTTGCTTTTGTGGCCTAAATCCAACCATGTGCGTTTGTTGTAGAAGGAAAAACTTACTGATTCTTATTTTCAGGTGATTATACACTAAAGAAGACATACTTTTGGTCATGGGCCTTATACGACGTGCAAGGTACCCTGGGTGTGTTTGTTGTTGACGCTCTGGGACGCTGTATCAAGTTCTGCCTGTTACATGTATTGTCTTCTTTCAAAATACACTTCCGTATTCACAGATAATTTACCAACTACATACTGTCTCTTTCAAAATAAAGACACTATGTCAATACAGCAATGCAAATTTATTTTATTTTTTTTCCCTTCAACGCATGTGGTTGGGTTTAGGCAACAAAAGCACGTGGTTAGGTTTTGGAAAAGAAGAACAGGGTTTGGCTTTAAAATCTTATGGGACACAAACATCGCTCTCCTGGGTGAAGGTTAGTGTTTGTTGGACCTATCCACCGACCCTTCGCTCACCCTACTCAGACTGTCATTCTTGTCCCACTGCGTTTTCCCCTAATGTGGCTAACCGTGATCGGTCACGTCTGCTGACGTTAAAGGACGCCTTTTTTCGTTAGTGTCTGATGCCGCAAGACATTACCCAAGCGCCAGATTTTGACAACTTTGGAGTGAGACGGGGTTCTCTCTACCAACACAAAATGGGTTCTATTCTGACTCTGGCACCTAATTTTACACCATTCAGAGCATTTCAACCAAAAATAAATTGGTTAGGAAGCTGAAAAGTTGGCTCTCAGCTGAAACCAAAAGAAGAGCAGGTTTTCCTTGGCCTGAAGTGCGAACCACGATGACATGTGTCTACAGGTTGAAATGAGGGGATGGATTCCTGCACGTAATCGTCAAGATATATCTTCTAATCAATAATAGCTGGTCCATGATTGTATTTTGGATAAAAACAAATATCTGTAACTAATAACAAATGGTAAATGGATATATATACCTGCATTTGTATAGCACCTTTCTAGTCTTCCAGCCACTCAAAGCGCTCATCACACTACAAGTCACATTCATCCATTCCACCCTGCAATCCAACATGTTATTGTGCAAGCTGTTGCCACCAGGAGATTTTTCTAAAATTTTTAACAGACTTGACCGGCTGGAAGTACAATCATTTATCAGTGAGCCTCTCCCAACTATTCACAGGACGATAAATAAATTCAGCCGCCTACTTGCACTGAATACATGGCTTTCTAATACCTGTGAGTCTAAAGGAAGAAACTTCATTGACATGTCCTGAGCTAGCTTAAGGTAAACATCTGCTCCTTCTAAAGATGATTTCTGATTTCTGATGACTTATTAAGAGACACTAACACATTCGGCAAACATTTAACATAATTCAGTATTAACTGTAGTTTCATGTAAAGTGAATACATGTGATGTTTCCCAGCTAATCCTCCACTCGTCAGCCCTAATGACTAAATACATATTTCAAGGTTTGTTGCTGAGTTTATTTTCTACTGTAGGTTGAGAATGAAGTCAGACAGGTAAAGACAGGGATATTATGTACTGACGTTGAGTGACGGACCTGTCAGACTATGTGTCATTCTCTTCTGCAGATTCTGATTTAATACTTTTTCGCTGTATCTCATGAAACTCTTGTGGTTTTATTTCTCATATCAATAGTAACAATGGCAACAGGAACAATCTCTTTCTGTTCTGGTCACACGTTCAACACACAGTTGCTGAAGACACAAATTCAGCTTAGACTGGTTGTTAGTTGTTACAGACACGGACAGTGCAACAGCTACCAGAGCTCTGCAAAGACATTTTAGAAAATGCTAAGTTAACATTAGTTAAATATTTGTTAAGAAATAAATCAGTATTTGCTAAACTGAAGGCAAATTACTTTGGAAAAGAACCAGCATAGGCCGGTAGCCACCAAGAGTAGCCACTGGGACTAACCACAGACAGTCTGTGGGACTAACTAGCTTACTGCTACTTCCACTATCTCACTGGAAGTTGCGCACATAATCGTTTCTACAGTAGTGCCCTCAGGAATAAGGTGGATGTCATTTCTCCTTACTCTTTTATTGTAAATCAGTATCCTTTATTATGTTTTGTATTTTAATGCTCCGTAAAGCACTTTGAATTGCCCTGGTGTATGAAATGTGCTATGCAAATAAAGCTGCCTTGCTTTGCCTAAAATGTCAATGTGATGATCATGTTGTTCCTCCAATGAGTGATATAAGACAATACAGGAAATCAATAAATATCCATCTGGGACGTAGGCCTAATTAAAAAGAAAAGTGCAAACAAAGAAGACTGATTGATGAAAGCTCTTTAGAAAACTGCTGTGTGTTTTTTCTTCAAGGTTACACATTTAAAGAGCCACGAGCCTTACGTAGCTGTGCTTATCATAAAGGCTATTGCTACAGGCATGGGATTTCTTTGACAGTGATGACCCCCACCTGAAATCTGTGTTTCAACACGTGTCACTCAGGAAACTCATTTCATGTGTGGCTCGTGTGTATCATAAAAGGTATAAAACACTCAAGAGATATCTCTGAGCTTTAGATTTCTCACTGATGTTAAGTTTTTGGTGTCACAGAGGCAAAGCTTGAGGAACCCATGAAATGGTAAAAATATATTAGAATATTTAAAGTAATATTTTTTCATTACAAAAAAAAAAAGATTTATAGTTATGTTTTGTGTCTTTTCTTGCTTCCTAACTCAATAGATAACAACTGTTAAAAAAAATATATATTTAAAGCATTTCCACTTCAAAATGAGATTAAAAAATCTTTAACCCTTGCGCACTCATTATTCAGCACTAAGATATGGTGACACCTAACTGACATTTCCTGCTCTGTAACCCTCAGAGCTGCTGAGCTAATCATTACAGATAATAAAACAGAAGGTGATATCACCCAGGGCTGCTGTAATTCCAGTCAACCTCTCTATGGAGTTTGGGCCCAGAGAAGCGACGAATGGTGACACTGGGAGCAGACATGGAGCAACAACGCGACAGACCAACATGGAGCAGACAGATAGAGTTCACCCTGGCTGGCATTGGCTGTGCTGTGGGTCTCGGCAACGTTTGGAGGTTCCCTTATCTCTGCTACAGGAGTGGAGGAGGTGAGACACAAAGATGACATTTCCCCCTTAACAGAATTATGAAACCAAACCAACCTCTGTGCTTATACTGTACATATACACTGGGTCTCAATGTGGGGTCCAGAGGTTTACAAACTGTGTTGTTAGTGAGCTCTTTGTCCTGTAGTGATGCTGACTGTACTTGAAAATGTTCTGAACTTTTACCTTAATGTGCATTTCATGTAAGCAGCCTGTATGTGTTGCATACTGTACTCTGAAATTCAGCTTGTACAGTTTGAAGGAACATTGGTTTACAATTAAAAAACAAAGGAGAGATACCGCAGCTGACTATACAGAGATATGATAGGAGGAGGGCAATGCAAGAACAGGATGACATTCACAAAGTTAAATATTAGAGGACACCATAACACTGTATTTGTACAGAAGCCGAGAACAGCTATGATTTTTACATACTGTTGTCTCAAGATTATACAGCTTATTCTCTTGTGACAAAGGGTTAATTTATGTTGATTCTGGGGAAAACTAAACACCAATTTCTTGAGATATTGAAATAATTTATCACAGGAAAAATCACTGGATGATTATGGATTATGGGTGTTAGTTTATGTTAATTTTGCTTTCAGTAGCTAGACACCCATTAACCAGTGACTGACAGGTTAATTTTTAAATTTTCTTTTGGTCCGGCAATCCAATTACTGTTAGCTTTAGCACGGCATTTCAAAGCACTATCCATTTAGAGGTGGTGAGATTTTAATGTTTTGTGATATGAAGTCTTGGTGAAGCCACCACTTTTAACACTGCTAACGGTGCTGACAGAGCTAACAGTTAATTTAACGATGCTAAAAGGGTTTTGCGGCTTAAAATTGAGGCGCTTACCAGCCGGGGTCACCTGGAGGCTGTGCACAATGTTTCCACAGCAACGCTGTTGGGTTGGGACAGCATTACTGGCTGTAATCGTGGATGATCTGCGCACTAGCTAGCTCCCATCCAACCAGGCCAGGCCATCAGGAAAGCCCTTCAGCCTTGAAGCAAATTTTTGGTATTGCAGTGAAAAAAACTGCAAAACTGCAAAAAGCACTTTCCCCATAGACCACCACTGTAAAAGAGATGTCTGTAAAACTGTTGACAGGATGCCTTAAACTAAAAACAAAGTCAATTATGACTTTTTCTATTCTGAATTTTTGATTTATGGAGATTATGTGTAAAAAGGATATATGTAAAACTTTCCTGGAGCTGAGGAAAGCGATTCAAAAATCTGTCACTTCATTACAATGTCAAGTCGATGAGCTGAGCCGTATTCCTGGTGGTTACCCGTTAACCAACTGCCCTCTGTTAAAAGGTACTCTTCCTCTTCATGGTTTCAGCCTTCAAGATCACGGTCATGACTGTTGGACAGAAAGACTTAATATCTGCCTTTGTTAGACCTTAACTGAAGTACAGTCTGATGCGTTGATCAATAATGGGTACTCCTAAACCTGGACAGGTCATCAGACTATCACAGGGCTGACACATAGATACAGACCACCATTCACACTCACATTCACATCTACAGACAATTTAGAGTCACCAGTTAACCTGCATGTCTTTGGACTGTGAGAGGAAGCCGGATTACCCGGAAAAAAAACATTCTGACACAGGGAGAACAATGCACAGTGCCGCTGTTTTTCTTGAGATAACTCAATAGTTAAGTGGTGATCTTGAGATTTAGCATTAAAAAAATAATTGCGAGCACAGCTGTTCTGGGCTACCATACCTTTGCCTACAAATTGTGTGTGACGTCTGACTCGCCATCACTTCCTGTTAGGTGCCTTCCTGGTGCCATACCTGCTCATGCTGTTTGTATTGGGGATCCCTCTGCTCTACATGGAGCTGACTGTGGGTCAGTACATGAGGAGAGGGCCTGTCCAAGCTCTGGCTAACGTCTGCCCTCTGTTAAAAGGTACTCCGTGGCATTAAGTAATTTTTCCAGCCACTGAAAGGTGAAAAAAACTGAAAAATGGACATTATTTTGACATTATTTCTTTCTCCTCAGGAGTGGGCATAGCATCAGTGGCCATCTCCTTCATCATGTGCACCTACTACAATATCGTCATCACCTGGGCCCTCTATTATCTCTTCAGTTCCTTCCAGGCACCGCTACCATGGCAGAGCTGCAACAACACCTGGAACACACCGAACTGTACCAGTCATGCCACCGACAGCAGCTTCTCCTCCACAGCTAGCCAGGAGTTCTTCAAGTATGTTTTACTGTGTGGGAGAAGTGTACGGAGGCCAAGGACTGCCATGCTTTTAGTTGTGTTTTCAGGGGCTCGTTTATAATAGTAATAATGGAGTAATCTATCTCCATTCCATGAGAAAACAAAAAGCCAATTTCTCGAGATGCCAAGACAGTTTATCACGAGAAAATGATTTTCCGCTTTCTCAAGACTGCATTACCATTACTGTATGGAGAACCTGAAAATGAGTACCTGGTTCATTTGATCCAAGCTTTCCTCATGCACTGTTCGTATGAAAAGTAATGCACCAAAATTCGTGCATATCCCACATAATGATGAGCCAGTAATTCATGCATAACCCACATAATTTGGACAGCCCGGTCTCACTCCAAAGTCATTGAAATCCAGTGCTTGGGCATCAGAAACCAATGAAAAAAGGCATCCTTTAACGTCAGCAGAGGATGGCCGGTTGCCGTTATGGTTTGACAGCATGGGTGGGCGGGAGCAGTGGTGGATGGGTCCAACAAACACCAACTTTCACCCAAGAGAGCGGTGTTCGCATCCCGTAAGACTCTAAACCCTGTTCTTTTTTCCTAAACCCAACCACGTGTTTGTTATCAAAGGAAAGAAAATGTCAATTTGCGATGTTGTACTGACGTAGTGCATTTATTTTGAAAGAGACTGTATGTTGTTGTTTATTAAATAGCGATGATGTGAAGGTGATGAAGGAGACTCCGATGACACCGTCTTGCTTGCATGAAGAAAAGGTTTATTACAAGAAGTACAGCATCTATCAAGCATCTAGATTGCTTGGAGAGGGTTCGAAGCCAATGTGAACTGCTCTGAATAACAGCCCCAAAAACCCTGCTTATATAGACTGACATGTCTATGAAATGTGAGACAAAGTCAAACAGACGACAGAGAAATATTCTAGTTGGACTTCACCAGTCCTTGACCTGGGCCATAAATACCTTCTTGACCCTGACCATATATACTTCTTGACCCTGGGCCCCTAACTGGTCATCTGTTCCAAAGCTTCAGAGTAGATCATAATACACTACAATGTAAACCTTAAATTTCCCGTAAAAACCGAAGTGTATCTTTAAACAAGACAATGCATGTAACAGGCTGAACTTGACACGGCGCCCCAGAACATCAACAACGAACGCACCCAGGGTACATTTCATGTCATATGTGGACATGGAAAGTCCTTGACCAAACATCAATATGTGACGAAGTCGGAGTGAGAATGTGTTGATTTGGAAGGCTGTGATCACGTGACCATTGTGCTGAAGGGAGTTAAGAATAAAGCTGGAAGCGGGCTCATTATGTGGCGGGTTGGGGTGGTAGATGGGTCACAAAACACAGGACTTACCTGTGGGACTTTCCCCAGGGGACCTGTGTTTGGAATTGAACTGTGAGTGAATTTTTCATGCCTAAACCTAAAGAGACCCAACCATTTCTTTCCTAGATGTAACCACAGTAACTTTAGCTTGACGTTATGTTAAATACTTCATGTCATGTGTGCATTTTCGTAGGATATCGTACCAACTATTGTATGCAGATATGTTAGATCACACCTGACTTTAACCTTCATGATCACTGTCATGTCTCATGATTGTTGGGGGGATTCATAAACGACAACTGATCTAAATTTGATCTCCAACAGCAAGACACATTACAATCTCTGCCTGTGTTAGACCTTGATTGAAGTATAATCTGATGTGTCGATCAATAATGAGTACTCCTTCCTCCTTAATCTGATATTTTTTGCTTAAATCAGTTGCTACAGTTGTCAAGACGCCATGTACACATGCTTGCATGGTACTCCTGATCTCTGATAAATATTTAACTTAATAAGAGGAAATTACCTTTTATTTTCATGTGATAAGGAGTTGATTATCTTATTATCTTGATATAAAAAACAGCTTGTTTTCTTTAGATAATAAAATAATTAATTTAGAGATGGGTTTTTAAAAAAAATTGCAAGCACTGCTGATCTCGGCTTCTGTACCTTTGCCAGAGAAATGTGTGTGTGTGCTTGTTTTTCAAGATAACGAAATCATTAACTCGTGATCTAAAGATAACGGCATTTAAATAAATAATAATTAATTGCAAGCACAGCTGTTCTCAGCTTTCGTAGTGGCCAAATTATAAAATCAGACTAGATAGCAATTAGATTATAGCAGGATTACAAAATCCCTGTAGTTTGGTAAGAGGCTTCAGCTCTAACTCTTTATATATCTATCATAAGAATGTGTGGAAAATGTTAAAGGGACAGTTCACCCAAAAATCAGAAATGCATATTTTTCCTCACGCTTGTCTCGATTGTTTTGAGTGGCCAAGTGTAGGAGATAGTCGCCATAGAGATGTCTGCCTTCTTTCCAATATAATCGAACTATTCATTTTCATTCATTTTCTGTAACCGCTTGTTCTGTTGGGTGTCGCGAGGGGGCTGGAGCCTATCTCAGCTGACATTGTTGTGAGAGGCAGGGTACACCCTAGACAGGTCACCAGACTATCGCAGGGCTGACACATAGAGACAGACAACCATTCACACTCACACCAATTCACCAATTAACCTGCATGTCTTTGGTCTGTGGGAGGAAGTCGGGGTACCCAGAGAAAGCCCACGCTGACACAGGGAGAACATGCAAACTCCGCACAGAGGGGGCTGGGTTCAAATCCCCCACCCTGGGTTTGATCCAGGAACCCTCTTGCTGTGAGGCGACAATGGTAACCACTGCAACACTGTGCTACTGATAATGGAACTAGATGGCAGAAAATCAAAATTGAAAAACTCAACAGCAATGTCTCTTGAGAATTATGACCCGGTTACCTGGTTACTTGGTAAAAAATACCACAACCCGCTCCCTATGTAGACGTAAATGGTTCAAACTAATATTAATATATGATATTATCGTCCATTACTGCCATTCTATCCCCCTAAATCCTGCGAACTGGACCTTTAAAAATGTTTTAACCTTGAGGTTCATCACTAGTCTTCTGTTAAATGTTCTAAAGTATTTCTTCTGTTTAAAAGTCAAACATATGCTGGTTCTTTGATTTTAATGTGGATAAACTGGGGAAGTATTGTGAATAGCCTTTCAATATGAAATGGTGTCATGCTGAAGAAGAACCCATATCTTTCATTCTGAGTATGTTGCTGTTTAGTAAGTGGAGAGAAACCTTGAGTTTTGGTTTACTCATTTACTTTTTTAACTGTGATTGGCTGATAAATGTGGGAATGGAATGTGTAACTGACTGATCAACGCTTTAAACTCCTTTTTCCTAAACCTAACCACCTGCTTTTGTTGCCTAAACTCAACAACGTGCAGCAGTTGTTGTGGGGAAAAAAATAAATTTGCGGTGTTGTACAGATGTAGTGCGTTCATTTTGAAAGAGACTGAATGTAAATGGGAAACTTCCTGTGAAAACTGAAGTGTATTGATATTAATTAAATGCTTACAGGGGACACAGATAGTGTTTGGTTGATAAAAAACGTCAGTAATAAGTGGTCAGATGATGACGACACAGCAACCAGTACAGAACAGAAACATTAATATACCCAATATGGAACCCTGTGGAATGCCATATGTTAATGCCTACCTGCCCACTGTCCATTAGATTATAATGAAACATTTATTACAATAGGAAAGAATTGTGAAACTTTGTTAATGGCTAGTGTGTTCAGTTTTAATGTGTAGCAGGATTAATGTGAAATGTAATCATAATATAGTATTAATGACATTTTCTCCTTTTTTTTGGGCTTCTTTAAAGATATAAGATGCTGGAGCAGACTAGTGGAATAGAAGAAGCAGGAGTGCTCCGATGGGAGCTTTTACTCATTCTCCTTCTGGCTTGGATCCTGATTTACTTTTGCATCTTTAAGGGCGTGAAATCAACAGGCAAGGTAAGTGAAAAGAGCAAGAAATTAAGAAAAGAGGATGGAGCGAGACAGGTGGACAGACAGTGGACAGACAGTGAATAACAACCCTTGTTCGTCTTTGTAGGTTGTGTACTTCACGGCCCTGTTCCCGTATGTTATCCTGATTGCCCTGCTGGTCAATAATGCGCAGCTTCCCGGAGCTATAGATGGAATAAAATTCTTCATTATGCCGGAATGGGACAAGCTGCTCTCAGTGGAGGTGAGACAAAAGAAACAAAGAGACAAGGAACTTCTGTCAGACACAGGGGAGCAGTTAACTATGGAGGACGACAAATAACTTAAGTATCAATAAATGCAGAAATGAATAAATAAATTACAAAATTCATAAATACAGAAATGGGAATGAATAAATAAGTTTATTTGTAAATATGGGAATAAATAAATAAATAAATAAATGAATAAATAAATATATAAAGAATTTTGAAAAGAACTAAATAAATGTATAAATAAAAATGGGAATAAATAAACAAAAAAGTGTATAAATAAATACATGAATAAATAAATATATAAAAAAAATTGAAAATAAATAAATACATGCATAAATAAAAATGAGGATAAATAAATAGAGAAGTGTATAGGTAAATATGGGAATAAATACAGAAATGTATAATTACATGAATAAATAAATATATAAAGACATTTGAAAATAAATAAATTAATGTATAAATAAAAATGGGAATAAATAAATAGAGAAGTGTATAAGTAAATGTGGGAATAAATAAATAAATAAATGTATAAATAAATACAGGAATAAATAACTATATAAAGACATTTGAAAATAAATTATAAATGAATAGATAAGTGTATAAGTAAATTTGAAAATAAATAAATATGGGAATAAATAAATAAGTGCATAAGTAAATATGGGAATAAATTCATAAATGTATAAATACATTCATGGATAAATGAATATAAAAAGAAATTTAAAAATAAATAAATGAATGGAAATGGAAATAAATAGATAAAATACAAGTTGATAATTAAACAGGGCATTAAACAATTCTACATTTTTGTGCAACTACTTAAATTTCTGTGTCTGTATGTCAGTGAGATAGAAGGTCCTAACGTCTGAATTTATTTCTCTGTTTATGCATTTATTTATTGATTCCAGTATATATGCAGGTGTTTATTTATTTCTGTATTATTCATTGATACTGGTAGATTTACAGTAGCACTGATATTGGTATGAGTATTGATGGTTGTTACTGTCAGTGATCAGTGGTTTTGGCTGATCATCCCTCTGTGTTGCAGGTGTGGGTGAATGCTGCAGCTCAGATTTTTAACTCCATCGGGATCGGTTTCGGCTCCCTCTTGGCCATGTCCAGTTACAACTCCTTCAACAACAACATTCTGAAGTAATAAGCCAAAACTCTCACACTCAGTTTCTCCCTCAGCAGTGACAGTAATGATCTCTGCGCAGTAGTTAAACATCTACTCTCCCCACAGGGACACCATGACTATAGCCATCATCAACTCCCTCACCAGCATCCTGGCAGGTTTTGTCATTTTCTCTGCTTTTGGATACATGTCTTACCTGCAGGGCATCCCTGTCAGCGATCTGGCTGTGGATGGTAAGAGAGCAAAACAAGTAATATAAACAGTCTTGATGAATATTCTTCAGCTTCAGGGGAGCTGGTTTGATTTAATATGGGTTCGGAGAGTGTCACATTTTTTACCCTAATAATACTTGTGTGTGACTGTGTAATTACTCCTGGGGTGGAGAGGATGCTGCAGGGCAAGACACCTAAGTGAGATGCTTTTTCAGTCCCTAAACGTAGGTGTATTTTAGCAACCTGTCTGTGTTTTTCCTGCGGCATTTTAGGCACCAAATGTGGGTATTTTTTAGTGACCCGTGCTTTTCCAGCGGGGATTGTGCCCCAAATTTTATGAAAAAACATGATTTTTTACAACCATAATTGAGTGTTTTTTCTGCCTAAACCTAACTATACATTAACCACAGCGTCGTTGAAACATAAAGTTTCAAACTATCACTACACAAAAACATGCAAATATAACATAGCTGTAAAACCTCAATTAATAGCCCAGGCTTTTATTTGCTTAAATCACCAAAATCAACGGGCTAGTAAAAGGGACTAGGCTTTTAATTGAAGTCTTATGGTATCCTTTGTTTGTGGAGATGTTCAGTGCCAGGATTTATTATGGCGATTGGGTTGTGTATTGCCTCCTTGTACATTGTGATGGATCATTTTTTATGGGAAAGTAAATGCAGAGTTACAACCCAATGAAAAATGTCATAACAGGGAATTAAAGCGATGATGATTCGACCAAAGGAAAAAGGCGAGTTGATATAAATGTGTCCTCTTATGGTGCGTTTAGATGGAATTAGGCAGACGGTAGACGGCGGACAGAAATCACCTTTTGGACAGCACGGGGAAAACCATAGATTTTAATATTAACTAGATATCGGACGCCAAGATGTCGCCTATTCAGTCCAATGGAGTTGCTCGCCTGGCATATGCAAAAAGTTTTCTAGCTTCTGGGTTTACTTCCGCGGTATGCTGCCGACTGAACATGCACAGTAATGTTTCTCCCACTGGCCCCGCCCATGAGTTCCTGCTCAGCTCCTAGACTTTAAATCGTGATGACATCCTGGTTTTTAAATTGCTTTTCCCAGCTTGAAGAAAGTATTAAGAATACGAAATCACCATGGCTCAAAACTTCAGAACAGACAGAGTCACATTTGACCTTGACTGCAGTTTGAAATGTCCTGTCAACAGTTTGACAGAAGCCTCTTTCACAGTGGTGGCCTATGGGGAAAATGCTTTTTGCTGCAGGGGATGTTTTTTTGCTGCAATACCGTGAGTGGCCACTGGGGAGAATGTGCTGCTAGGCTGAGCTGCTTTCCTGGGGCCCTACCTGGCGCATACACCAAGAAAGTTTCCTAACTTGCGGTGCATGAAGTCTGGTTATAAACAGTGGTCGATGGTCGAATTGTTAATTTTTAACAAGGGGGATGCAATGTAACTTTTTTTTGCGTGCACACCATCAAATATGACAGCACAGTTGTGCAAAATTAATCAAGATAAAGAAAAATGACATGACCTATACCTGCTGCCTTTAAAAACACAAATAATGCACTAGTATTGCTATTGCAATACAGACAAAAAACATTTTAGAGTATAAATAAGAGTAATTCTGAAATGGCTGTGAAAATTAATCTTAGAGTCACTCTTATCCTATAGACATTTCCTTAGCCAGTTATAATTTCTCCTTACCTGTGAAGCCTTGGGCTGATAATTGGTGCTGCTGTCAGATCCCTGTCCTGATACCTGCCTGGTTTCTCCCTGTCCCTCTTCTATCCATTGCAATAATATAAATAATAAATGTGCAAAGCAAAATTTAGAAATAGAATTAGGAATAGTAGTGGTGACATAGCTGTGGAAATTAATCGCACAGTCACTTTTATGCTGTATATTTTCTCTCAGACAGTTAGAATCTCTCCTCACCTGTGAAGACCCTGCATGGTAATCCTTGCTGGCCTCTGGTCCACTGTCTCCTCCCTGACCCTGCTCTTTCTATTGTAGCAATAAAGATTAAAAAAATATGTGCAAAGCAATAGTGAGCACAAGTTATTATTAAGGAGGAGTGGAGGAGTTTATTCCTAGCGTGAAACTAGCTAGCAAGTGATTTTACATAGTCCTACAGTCCTACTAATTAACATTAGTGTTCTTGTTAACTATCTTAATATATTGGCATCTATTAATTAGTCATCATTTAGCTAACATTATCTATATGCAACAGCATTACTCAACTTACACGGTTTGTTTGGAAGAAACTGTGCAAGGTTTTTGCTTCTTGCTGGCTGCTTTGCTGAACATAGTTAACACACAGCAGCACTGCCCAGTAGAACACCTCTCCTCTGTCAGCAATTGATTCTGATCACAACATGACAGCGCGTGTATGCCGCCTGGCATCGCCTACTCATGGTGCATTTAAAGAATGCTTGGAAAAACATGTTACCACATGTTAAAAACGAATTGAAGGGTTGTAACGACTGTAAAAAGTGTGGGGGACGGAGGGCACAGATACAGGAAGTGCGGGGGACATGTCCCCTGTGCCCCCCCTCAAATTATGTCCATACCTGCACACACAGATTCTAGATTAACAAGGGGGATGCTTTTTGGTCAATTTTCTAACAAAGGGGATGGCATCCCCCCCTCATCCCCCCTCAATTCGACCACTGGTTATAAACTTACCACTAATATTTATATGGGCATTAACAACTCACAATCCAGAGACACATTTTGGTTTTTAATCCTTCATAGTCTCACTTAGTGATACAAATGTTGATAAATTCTTAACATATCGCTCTGTGTCCGTCTTTAGAAAAGCCATAACTACATTTTTTCAATCATTAATGCTACACTGACATCTTGTGTGTTTGTTTGTTTATCCAGGTCCAGGACTTGTTTATGTTGTTTACCCACAAGCCTTTGCCAACATGCCAGTGCCTCAGCTCTGGGCTGTGATGTTCTTCTTCATGCTGCTTTGCCTCGGACTGGACAGTGAGGTAGTTAATGGGGAAAACATCACAACATCAGTGATACTAGTGTGATTATTTGCAGCAATCCTACAGAGATGTTTTGTTTTCTTTTTTGCCAGTTTGCAATGGTTGAAGTGATGGTGACCAGTCTCATGGACGAATTTTATTCACATCTGATTAAGTTTTTTAAGCGAAAGGAGCTGTTTGTTCTTGCTGTTTGTAGTGCAGCGTTCCTTCTCGGGATTCCTTGTGTCATGCAGGTAAAGACTCTGATGTACTGGATGAACTTTAACCAAATTATATTCAGATTATGAAATCATTAGTCTCATTTTAGCTGCAGATCTAAAGAGTGTGTCTCCTTTCAGGTGGGCATCTATGTGTTCCAGCTCATGGACCATTACACTGCCATAGTGTCCATTATGTTTCTTGCATTCTTTGAGGTTGTAGCCATCTGTTGGAGTTACGGTGAGCAATAAGTTGTGTTTTTTTTCACAGTGGCCAGTTAATACAACGGTCTCCAACAGTGGTCTGCAGCTTGGCAGGTTTCTTGCCATCCACCGTCCCCTCCACCTCCCAATGACAAAGTCAGCTCATATACTACATCACTTTAGCAACATTGATATGATTCAGATGAATCTAACAATGGCAGCTGTGATGGTTAATGTTATTTACATCAAAAGTACACACATTTAATACATATAAAGGTCAGATGCAGTGGTGGAAGATGTATTATGATTTTTTACTTCTAAAGGTCAAAGCAATACCACAATCAGTGGCGTAAGGTAGTTACAACGGACACTAATGCACACTAGTTACTAGTTACAAGGTGTACACACACACACACACACACACACACACACACACACGCTTTGCTACTTTTTCCTCCTGTTCGTTTCTCTCTTGTTCTTTCGTACTGCCACTTTTATGTTTGAAAGGCACGACCGTTCACTGGGCTGGTAAATATTCTCAGCTTTTCAGTCTAATATGTGTATTTTTTACTTTTATCTAGCTTTTATTCTTGTTGCCAAATAGATGCTGTAAAAGTCTGTCAACGTGCAAATAAAATGTCATGGCTGTTAACTGAAGCAGCGCTCTATGTGCAGGAGTGACTCGACTTTCAGACAACCTGAAGGAGATGACTGGAAAAAGACCAAACATCTACTTCAGGCTGTGTTGGCTGATAGTTGCTCCTGGGCTGGTCGCTGTGAGTCAACAGGATCAACATCACATCATTTAGAGTCAAGATTTATTTTTACCCCAAAGCAAAACTGAGATACAAAAGTGTCACAATTTAACGTTATATGTTTCTTCTTTTGACAGGTTATCCTGATTTTCTCCATCATTCAGTTCAAACCAGCCCGCTATGAGCACTACGTCTTCCCTCCCTGGGCTCAGGGGGTCGGCTGGGTCATTGCCATGGGCTCCATCATCTGGATTCCTTTGGGTGCTGTTCACACACTGTGGGTGCTGCCTGGCTCATTGATGCAGGTGATACACATTTACCATTTGCTTTTCTCCACCCAAGACACTGAAGGTGGTACATGGTATTTTTTAAAGAATTTCAGGGCATTTATGTTTGCTGTGACATAACCAGGTTTTTTAATTTTAATGACTCATCGTCATTTCAAGCTATGTCTGTTGCAACATAACCATGTATTTCAAACAACATGCTGGGACATGTCCAACCGCATTTGTTGCAGCCAAACCTGGTCCTTTTTAACAACACGTCGGGACATTTCCAGTCATGGTTGTTTGGACAAAACTGGGTATTTTTCAAAAACACGTTGGGGACAAGACCGGGTATTTTTTTTAACAATATGTCAGGACATTTCCAGCTGTGTTTGTAGCAACAAAACCGTATTTGTTGCGACCAAACCAGGTATTTTTTTTATGAATGGTCAGGTCATTTCCAGCCATGTTTGTTGCAACAAAATCTGGAATTTTTAGCAACATATGGGGACCTTTTCAGCTGTGTTTGTTGCAGCAAAACTGCGTAATTTTGAAAGAGTTTTGGGACATTTTCAACTGAGCTTGTTGTGACATAATTTTTTTATCATGTCGAGACGAAAAAACTGGGTATTTGTAATGACACATTGTGACATCTCAAGCCGTGTTTGTTGCGACATAACCAGTTATTTTTAAAGACGCCCGGAGATTTCCAGCCATGTTTGTTGTGACATAATGTGAGTATTTTTAACATTATGCCAGCACATTTCCAGCTTTGTTTGTAGTGGCAAAACCAGGTCAATTTTAACATATGTTGAAGCATTTCTAGCTGTGTTTGTTGCAACAAATCTGAGTATTGTTTTTTAGACACGTCAGGACATTTTAAGCCATTGTGATAAAACCAGGTATTTTTTTAAACACATTGGGGCATTTCCAGCCATGTGTGTGGTGTGTCAAAACTTAGTATTTTTTTTTTTAAAGTGTGTCAGATTTAGGGGCATTTATTGGCAGAAATGGAATATAATATTTATAATTAACGTAACCTAATAATATAACTCGTTAGTTTATAGTCACCTGAAACTGAGAATTGTGTTTTCATTACCTTAGAATCTGCCATGTATATCCATATATGGAGCAGGTCTTCATCCAGAGAGTCTGCCATGTTGTTTCTACAGTAGCCCAGAACTGACAAACTAAACACTAGCTCCAGATAGGGTCATTCACATTTTCGCTTTTTTGCATCTGCCACTGGAGTCGCACACATCTGGCACACAGAAAAAGTTTCAGTTCAATCAATCAATCAAACAATCAATTTTATTTATGAAGCCCAATATCACAAATCACAATTTGCCTCACAGGGCTTTACAGCAGTTCTGCAACATCATCGCTGAATGCCAATATATATCCTACACACAGGACCTTTTCTTAAAACTAAATTGGGATATTTTCAGCCGTGTTTGTTGCAACAAAACAGGGTATTTTTTAATGACACGTGAGGAGGTTACTAGCAGTGTTTGTGGCGAACAAACTGGGTATTTCAAGCATAATTTTCTCCTAACCATAACCAAGTGGGTTTTGTGCCTAAACCTACCCACACATTAGACATTTCTGCTACATATGAAACATACAAACATAATATATTTGTGGTTTGTAGAAAAGTACAATGCCAAAATCTAGTTTAGCGACTGGGTTGCTTGCCATGTCATGTTCATATAAAATCAAGTTGTATGTTAATATACACGTTACATACATTTCTCCCACAGAAACTTAAGCTGTCCGTCACACCATACACCCTGAATGAAATATCAAAGATGCCGTACTATGAGAGGGGAGGAGGAGCTGGACGTCCAGACATAGCCGTCATCAGCTCCAACATCCATCTACCTGAAAAACCTCCTACTCAGACAAACATGTGATACCTCTGTGCTTCGCACTATCCCGATGTCCAGCTAGCCACCAAGAGTGGTAGATTATTAGTAAGTTTAAGTTAATCACAATTTTTTTTTTTTTTTTTGCCATAAATCTTAAACAACCTTCTGGTAAGTTAAACAGAAGTCGACTGAAAAAATTATTTACATGGTTGTGAAAATCTATTGCTGCATATCTGCCATGCAGATATATTAAAATGGCCAATTTTTGTGAGCCTACTGATTAAATATGTTTAGTTTAACTTCTATAACAGTTTAGCAGATTTTTAATGTGATAAGATGTGGAAAGACAGAATGTACAGTACATCTTAATGTCTGGCCAGCACTTCCTCATGTGGTGATCAGGACACTGCACACATTTCACCAGCCTCATTTCTGGACTCAACTTTGCAAAGGGTGCCATCTTTTGGCCATGATTGTTGATGCAGTTTGGAGTTTTTATAAATGTCAGATCAGTAAATTTAGTACATACATTTTAGCCTGTAAAATGACAAAGTCATGCCACTATTTCACACTCATAGGTCACACAGCTGAACTTTAGCAGACTACTGAATAACCTCCCTTAAAGACATAAAGCACTGTGGACCCATTCATTGTGGCTGACTCATTTATTAGGTCAAATGCAACAGGGCACTGCTGATAAAACTGATATATATGATATACTGATATACACAGGTGGTAAATAAAGTAGTACATGGGTCATGCAATTATGTCATGTCATGTCATGTCATGTCATGTCATGTAAGGCGTAATAAAAACATGTCACAAAGTCCACAGCTCGTGTCTTCTTTCTGTGTAATCAGGTTTTCTTGTGAACATTACCACAGGCCATTACTTACTTTTGGGCAATTGTTTTTATTAATTCATTAAAGGAGATATTTCCACTGAAAGGTACACATCTCTAGGGTATGCATGTACACAGAGTTAGTTTCTTCCCCTGCATAAGTTGCCAGTGTTTCCCTCTTATAGTTCCTCCTCATGAATGAATCCAAAGTGCAGAACAAGTTAAATTACACAGGCAAAAAGGTGGACCGTAGAAACTCCTGCTTAAAGGAACACTTCACCCCCGAAATGACCATCTGTATATCAATTACTCTCATTGTGTTATGTTGAATGCACTAAAACCTTTGTTTTTCTCGCAAGCCTCCACAGTGAACCAAGAACCCAAAAATAGGAGAGAATTATTGATGAACTGAACCCATAGGGGTCCACATTTTCAGAATCCATTTACAAACTCTCACACACCTTGTGCAGTATAATCAAGTCTCATTTATCCAGTTGTATGCTCAGTACATCCCAAACAGACAGTCCTTTCTAACAGGGAACTAAACAGAAAGTGAAACTTATCCATGCTCTCTTCAAAGCCAGACTCCATTGACGAACAAAGTAATTTTACCTCGCTGATCACAGGACTTCCTGGTCTAGCGCTGCCTTGATTAGTTAGTCTGTTTCTGTTATTGTGACTATGGTGAATCCGAACTAACCCTTTATTACACCACAGTCCCACAATATGGCAAAAAACCTAACTGATTGAGACAGCGCTAGACCAGGAAACTGTGTTCAACAAGGTAAAATTACTGTTTTTGTCAGTGGAATCTGGCTTTGACGAGAGCATAGGTAAGTTTCACTTTCAGTTCAGTTTTTAATAGCAAAGTTTTTGAGAAAATGCACGTATATGCAAAGCACTGAGCATTCGAATCGATAAAGTAGACTTGGATTATACTGCCAGAGTTGTGTGAGAGTCCATAAACAGACTTTTTTAAGTTCCTCTGTTGTTGAAGACGTATTTCACTGCTAAGAGGAAAACTGGGCCGTCTATGGAATGGAAAGATGCAAATAATTCTAATATTGGTGACCAAAGAAAACGAGAAAAAGGACTGTGGCATTTGCTGTTGCTCAAGAGGCAGAAAAACCCCAACTGCCAGAATGCACTGCGCCGCACCAGACCAATAAACACCCGCACAGGTAGGTGGCATAATGCGAATTTGTCTGTTTGACACAAATGCATGGTGGTGCAGTGGTTAGCACTGTTGCGTCACAGCAAGAGGGTTCCTGGTTTGAACCCCAGGGTGGTTTGCATGTTCTCCCCGTGTCAGCGTGGGTTTTCTCCGGGTGCTCCGGCTTCCTCCAACAATCCAAAGACACGCAGGTTAATTGGTGACTCTAAATTGGCCGTAGGTGTGAATGGTTGTCTGTCTCTATATGTTAGCCCTGCGATAGTCTGGCCTCTTGCCCAGTGTCAGCTGGGATAGGCTCCACCCCCCCGCGACCCCTAACAAGATAAGCTGTTATGGAAAATGAATGAATGAATGAATGAATGACACAAATCGTTTAAACGGTAAGCTGAAAACAACTGAGGCAAGAACAATGCCAACAACTCAGTTACAGAATCTTGGTTCATATTTGATCAACGCTGCCTATTTTTACCATTTGATCCCAGTTTTTTCGGCCTCTGCTTTCATTGTGCAGGAAACAGTATGGCACCCACTTCCTGTTCACCAACTCTCGCTACTACAGCCATACACAGCACTGAAATATGTTTCTGAAATCATTTTATGCGAGAAAAAGACAGTGCTGTGACATAATATTGATCTATATTCGATCAGCACTGCCTTGTTTCACCGCTTGATCAGATTTAGGTCTGAGTTTGGGAGAGAGACAAGGAGGGGCGGGTCATGTCGCTTTATCTGCTTCTACACTCTTTATGTCTGTGGTTGTGGCATCAACTGATATGAAAATGCAAAAGTACAGTCTGTAGTTCAAGCAACAGGCCTGGAGAGTGAGCCAAACGCTGCCAGATGACCTGTTGTGCACCACCCGCCTCATCTGGCAGAGGGTGGGGGTGATACTATTGATATTTGATACTACCCACATTATTTTGATACAAAGCTGGTTGAAAATCAGCAAAGTACCCCTTTAAATGGGGACCCTTGTGACCCTTCTTCACAGTTTTCTTCACCGATTCAACATAACACATGGGGTGAGTCATTGACAAACATGATCATTTGGGGAATGAAGTATTCCTTTAACAGAAAGCGGCTCCTGCACTTTTCCAGATTCCTGAAACCTTGGTCGATCCAAACAAGAGTAACTGAAAGTGTTTGTGAGAACATATGGTGAGTAAAGGTTGCAGGGTGGACAAACTGTCGATGGTTAGTTACAGTGGGTAGTATCGTCTATGGTTAATGAGTGTGAGACCACATCTATCTATGATCAAAAGTTAAAATATTTATAAAAAAAAAATAAACAAAAAAATCGTATAAACAGCAATTACTCTTTCCATTTAATTTCAAAAAGATATGTCGTATGACCTACAAAAACAAAAAACGTGCAATCAATGGCATACTCTTCCCTCTGAAGTGATGGTCGTGCAGATGACCACAAAGCACAGCAGCAGCAACTCTCTCCTCTGTTATTTGTTCCGACTGTAGTTTGGACTCAGCTCAGTTCAGGACCGGGCTCGACGATTCACAAATACCAGGTCGCTGCATTCAGTAGTATTTCTGTAGTGGTTTACAAAGTCTAAGCCCTTCATTTCCTCACACAGCCTCCTCAAGACTCCAGCCTTCTTTGACCACGTCCCTGCAGATCCAACACAGCTATAGTTGATTTGTATCCCCCCCCCACCACCCTCTTCCCTCGCCCAGCAGAGGTCACTAAGGAGTCACCATGGCTGCTGTCTGTCTGCTCCTCCTGCAGCTTCCTGTTGCACTGCTATGACACCTGCTCTACTGGCCTCAACTGCAAGTCTCCAATCTGATGACACAAATAAAAGGAGATCATTACAGACACCAATGCCACTCACCTCCATCTGATGCATTTGATGGTATAAAAGCCAGACAGACACAGAAAGAGCAACAAAATCCCCAGAATAAATGTTGGCATTGTACGTTTCTGACTCATATATGCAAATTTGTACATTTCACATGCAGCAGGTATGTTTTAAACTTCATGTTTCAATTTTCAGTTATACATGTATCTACGCTGTGGATAGTGTGTGGTAAGGTTGAGGCACAAAAAATGCTTGGTTAGGGTTAGGAAAACATTATGTTTTGGTTTAAAATACCCTGTTTTGTCACCACAAATACAGCTGGAAATGTCCCAACTTATTAAAGATATCTGGTTTGGTCACAACGGTAACGGCTGGAAATGTCTCAATGTCTCACCAAAAATACAAGATTATGTTGCCACAAACACTGAAAATGTCTTGACATCTCATTTAAGATATCTGGTTTTGTCGCAACAGACACAGCTGGAAATGTCTTGATGTCCTGCTAAAATATCCTATTTGAATGTTACAAAAAATGACTAGAGATGTCCTGACATCTCACCAAAAATATTGGTTTGATCACCACAAACACGGCTGAAAATTTCTTGTCATCATGTTAAAAATACCTGGTTTTATTGCGACAAAAATGGCTGGACATGTCCCAACATCTCGTTAAAATTACCCTGTTTGGTCACCACAAACACGGCTGGAAATGTCTTGACGTCACGTTAAAAATATCTGGTTTGGTCACAATAGACACAGCTGAAGTGTCTCAATGTCTTGCTAAAATATCCTACTTGGCTGCTACAAAAAACGACTGAAAATGTCCTGATGTTTTGCTAAAAATATCTAGTTTTATTGTCACAAAAATGGCTTGAAATGTGTCAAAATCTCATTAAGAATACCTGGTTTGGTGGTTACAAACATGGCTGGAAATGTCACTGGTCAAACAGCGTGCTGTTGCTCAGCAGCCTGCTTGGCAGCCATCTCGCCTAGGTGTCACGCCATCCACCATCCCTTCCTCCTGATGTAACTATGCATGTAATCTGAGCTATGTAACTTTAGAAATGCTAATATGATACACATATGATACATGATAACACATACAAATGTAACATCGATGGTTTGCAGAAACATACAATGCCAACATTTTATTCTGGTGACCGGCTGATAAGAGAGCGATACCTGGACATGGGGAGGGGCACTGAGGATAAATGTGACCGCACTGGCTATGTCTTCTGCTTTCAAACACTGGAACAAGTGGAGAAAAGAGGAATTACTGATGCAACAGCGCTCGGATATTTTCACTTTGTGAAATACATCTTGTGACTCTCAGTCAAATGCTTACTTTCATACTCTCATACACTGCAGCTGCTTTCTCTGGATCGCTGTTGTGGTGCCGGAAGGCGAACTCAGTCTCCACTATTCCAGGAGATATACACTGCAGGGCAGGAAAACACATTACACACGGACATAAGAAAAAGGGTAAGTGCATACTGTATGTAGAGCCATTTATACAGTGGTGGAAAAAGTATTTAGGTCCTCTACTTACAGTAACAATAATAATAATGATAACTTTATTTGTTGAGCACTTTTCGATCTGAAAAGCAAAGTGCTTTGCTACACCAACATATACACTTAAACATATGTACATAAACACATGGCTGCAAACACACACACTCCCCCACACACCGGAAGTCTATCAACTGTCAGGAGAGGCCAATCTGTAAAAGTAAGTTTTCAGACGAGATTTAAAGACGTAAACAGAGTCAGCTGATCTGATGCTCAGTGGGAGCCTGTTCCAAAGCCGAGGAACATGACCTGAAAAGGCTCGATCACCCTTTGTCTTAACCTGGACTCTGGAACAGTTAGAAGAGCCAGACTAGCAGACCCGAGGGGCCTGTTTGGATGGTATGGTGTGAGAAGCTCAGCTATATAGATCACTGAGCTGTGGTGGAGGGGAAGTATAAAACTGCATAACATGAAAAGTACCTCAACTTTGTAC